ATTTTTTAAAAGACAAGAAAATTCATACGAATCGTTTCTTCGCGTTAATTTGATGAATAGATTAAATATTGATCGGTCTTCAATTTTCGGTACTGACTGATTCTCTAATTTCTTTATAAGAGAATAAAAATTGATACGAATCTTTCTTTTATCCGACTTAATTTGTTGAGTAAATTAGTGGGGTAAGTACCTGCAAGATGAAAACAACTTGTCATTGCACTTAGACAATTTTCTAACACTGATTTATAGTATTGGTCAATATCCGGTTTTCGGTATTGATTTAGTCTTTGATTTCTCTATAAAAGAAAAAAGATTGATACAAATCGTTCATTTATACGCGTTAATTTGATGAATAAATTCGATATTGATCGGTATTCGATTTTCGGTACTGATTTCTCCTTTCATTTTTCTATAAGAAAAGAAAAAATTCAGACGAATTATTCATTTATCCGCGTTAATTTGATGAAAAAATTAAATATTGAACGGCCTTCGATTTCGGTACTGATTTATTTTCTCATTTTTTTATAAAACAAGAAAAATTGATACGAATCGTTCGTTTATTCTGAGTTAATTTGTTGAATAAGATTATAGGGGTATGTACATGAAAAATAAGAACAAATTGTCATTGCACGTGTGCAATTTTTTGACACTGATTTATAGTATTAATCGATATTCGATTTTCGGTACTGACTTACTCTTTCATTTCTCTATAAGAAAACAGGAAATTAATACGAATCGTTCATTAATCCGCGTTAATTTGATGAAAAAATTAGGTATTGATCGGTGTTCGGTTTTCGGTACTGATTTATTCTCTCATTTCTCTATAAGAAAAGAAAAATTGATACAAATCGTTCGTTTAACAGAGTTAATTTGTTGAGTAAATTAGGGGGGTAAGTACCTGAAAAATAAGGACAAATTGTCATGTACTTGGACAATTTTCTGACACTAATTTATGGTATTAATCAGTATTCAATTTTCGATACTGATTTACTCTTTCATTGTACTATAAGAAAAGGAAAAATTGATATGAATCGTTCATTTATCTGCGTTAATTTGATGAATAAATTAAATTTTGATCGTGCACGATGGGGGCGAGAGGGGGAGGAGGAGGGAGAGGGGGGCGAGAGAGGTGGAGGGGGAGAGAAGGAGGACGAGGAGGATTAAAAGGATGAGAGAGAGAGAGAGAGCGAGGAGAAAGTGTGAAGGAATGGAATGAATGGAGGAAAGCGAAAATCAGCGGTAGGAAATAAGAATTATAGGAGTAACAGCGGCATAGAAATATAGATATATACATATGTATAAAAATAGATGATGAACGAACAATTAATTATAAGAGATAAGCGAGCGAGTAGATGTAAGATATTCGTAAAGTAGATTTAAGGAGGGGCGGGGAATGGGAGTGTGTGTGTGTGTGTGTGTGTGTGCGAGGGAACAGGGGCGAGCGCAATAGGAAGTAAGGAGGAGAGATTATATTGGAAATTGTGACCCCGCCAGGGGAATCAATAAAGTATACATACAATTAAATATTGATCGGTCTTCAATTTTCGGTACTGATTTATTCTTTCATTTCTTTATAAGAGAAAAAAAATTGATACGAATCATTCATTTATTCAAGTTAATTTGTTGAGTGAATTAGAGGGGTAAGTACCTAAAAAATAAGAACAAATTGTAATTGCGCGTGGACGATTTTCTGACGTTGATTTACGGTATTAATCGATATTCGATTTTCGGTACTGATTTACTCTTTCATTTTTTTATAAGAAGAGAAAAATTGATACGAATCGTTCGTTTATTCGAGTTAATTTTATGAATAAGTTAGATATTGATCGGTCTTCGATTTCGGTACTGATTTACTCTTTCATTTCTCTATAAGAAGAGAAAAATTGATACGAATCGTTCGTTTATCTGAGTTAATTTGTTGAATAAGTTTAGAGGGGTATGTACCTGAAAAATAAGAACAAATTGTCATTGCACGTGTGCAATTTTTTGACACTGATTTATGGTATTGATCGGCCTTCGATTTTCGGTATTGATTTATTCTCTCATTTCTTTATAAGAGAAGCAAAATTGGTACGAACCGTTCGTTTAACCGAGTTAATTTGTTGTGTAAATTACGTCAAGTTGTTGTGTAAATTAGCGGTAACTACCTGAAAAATGAGAACAAATTGTCATTGGACAATTTTCTGACACTGATTTACTCTTTCATTGCTCTATAAGAAAAGGAAAAATTGATACGAATCGTTCATTTATCCACGTTAATTTTTTTTTATCATATATAAGTGGTCCATGGGACAATTAAATATTCAAATATATGTTGCCGTATCAATGTCTCCTTTATAATAATTTTGACACGTCTGGAGACACATGATGTATCGTTGCCCCCATTCTCTTCGTCCTGCTTCCCTGTATAAAATGTCGAATTGAAACGTATTAAAAAGTATTGACATTTAGAATATGTCTGAATTCTGAATCTTTTTGATCCGAAGAAAAGGATTGAAAAGTATTAGTTTCCATTAAATTTTACTGCGCTAAATGCGAGACGGTCTCTTTCGCCCGGGTGCCTCACGAGGGAAATTTCTCTGGTACGTCTAAGTCCCGTAAGGCCATCAGTCTTTGTAGTATATCTCGTCGGTGCATAAGGTTTATATTACCTGTACATACATATTTTGAAACATTTTCTTTGGATATTATATCAAACAGATTTTGCGTGTCACGTAATATCCTTCGGACTACACGGACATTATTATTTTGGTCATTTTGATTTCTTTGGTGTTCATTGAATTATCCAGAACGCGCAACTGCCATGTTGAACGACTCAATTGTCGTGTGAAATGTTTCGATTTTCACAAATTCATATAAAATTTTTCATTTTTCACTGATTCACAGAAGTCTTTCACTTTTTATTAGTTCACGCTAGGGAAAAGATTCATGATCGCTGCCCCGAGCAGCTGCAACGCTTTTCGAATCATCTATGTCGGCGCGCTTTTACTCCTCAGATTTCTATCATTAATAACTCGATAATTATTGCGAATCTCGCAAAATGGTATGGGACTTTTATGTTTGTCTCAACCCAATCTACCTTCACACTTCGGGTTGGCAGTACGCTATTATGGTTATAGCACGGACATAAAGCGCCTAAAATGGATGTAGCACGGACTGCCACCATATACAGGTTTTACCGTCGAAACCTGAAAGTGGATGTAGCATCGTAGTTCCCCTCTCAAAATGGATGCAGATGGCGCCCTTTCCCAGTGCGGAAAGTCGGTGTCATCGAAAACACCGCGTTGGCCGCTCTCACGTTCCTCTCTGATAGAAGTAGCCTAAGAAGCGAATAATGGATTTCTTGGTGCCATCTAACGGTATCATGGTGAAACCAGTTTGACTTGACAGATTTGAATGTCGGCTAGGTAGAATTTGAATTTTTATCGAGTAACTCATTATATTCAATAAACTTAAGGCAGTATTATAATCAGATAATTTGATCTCATATTTAAAACAATTTTGAATTTATCTTAAAATTCTGCAAGGACCATTTTATTAGCCTTATTTTTATTACATCGGATAATAAATTGCTGACAATGTCATCATATTCACGCATTATGATTGTTGATTGATTTGAAGAAACTGACAGTTAAGTTAACTATCAATTAGTTTAATTAAAATTTGCAGAAATTGCAAGTTACAAATTATTGTCATCTTAAAGATGACAATAAAGAAAAAACTTAAAGATCTTAAAGATGATAATAATTTGTAACTTGTTTCAAAAATAGTTTTCTTTTTGTCGAAATTGGCTGATTTAAACTTGGTTCCTAAATTCGAATCAAAATTTCCAATAAAAATCGAATTGAAATTTAAATTAAATTTGAATTAAACTCTATTAGCTATATCCGTCAGTTAAATCAACAAGCAGATAGCTTGATTAAAAATAAAATATACAGAAAATCACCTGAAATATCTCAAATATTATATTAAATATCTCATAGTAGCACCTGCAGCACACAGGTTTCGTAAAGTCACACTTAAAAAGAGAAGTAACATTCGGAATATTGTGCAGTTTCCTCAAATAATCAACAGTCATGATGCGTGAATATATGAAGATGACGCACGGGGAGGGGTCGAAAGATCCTAGTGGCCCTACGCCTAGTAAATGCTAAAGTATCTACTTATCACTATTTGTTACCGAAAGATAAAAGGCTGGACAGACGGACTAGTAGTCCAGGTTGATGCTCCAATCACATACACCGGTGTACCGTTATCAACGTGTCGCCGGTCGCTGGTCGCTAGATGGTGCCACAGTAGCGGCAAAAGGGGTGCGGCGCGAACGCAACACGGCGATCGCCATACTGGGCGAACGTGACCGAAGACACAGCGAAAATGAATGCCAGAGTGTGTGTCACATCGGGGCAGTCTCGCTGGTAATAGAGAGGTTTTATTTTGACAGTGCGATAGGCGTGCGGCTAGCGCGATGTCCGGCACCGCAGCGCGTCCCTGAGCGAAGCCGTGCAGCGCCGATACGCGCCCGTCCACCGCGTAAGATCAGAAATATCGCCGCTCCGGGTCTCAGCCAGACGGGAGGACGGGGGGACGACGAGCGGTCCGTGCTGTGTGTGTACCTGCATGTGTCACTGCGAGTGAGTGCAGTTTGGCCCCAGGACCGTCGCGTATCTATACATTGCTTCGCTCAAGCCGAGGTTCAGTGTTTGTCGACTGTGACGTTCTCGTTGCCGCTATCACCGTCGTCGTCGTCATCGCCGCCACCGCTGCCGTGGTCGACGCCAACTGGTCGCTCCTGCTGTTGCTACTGCTCTACCGCTACCGTTACTGCTGCTGCTGTTTTTCACTCTACGTCCGCGTGCACGCTCGTCCCAAGTTCACTACTCGTCGCCGGTCGTTATCGCGTCAACAGCCCGATGCGAGAGTGAGAGACACTACGTCGTCGCCACCGATGAGTTTGGCCTGCTGTTCGCCGCTGCCGCTCTAACTAATCGCAAGCGTGTGTGATGCCCGGGAGCCGCTCCAGCACGGACCCAGAGCACAAGTCACCGCGGGAAAGTGGTGAAGATTCCGAGGATGAGAGCGAGATCCTGGAAGAGAGCCCATGCGGGCGGTGGCTAAAGCGTAGGGAAGAGGTACGCATCCTACTCACCCAGCTGATGATTCCTCAGCTGATAGATGTACTATAATCTTGCATGGCTATGTTGCGACTTGTATCATACCAGCTGCTTGTATCGTATGTACAGCTTGTAGTTTTCAGGAATATGCTAAAAGTCCCAAGGATATTGTGATATTATCCCCGAAACATGAAACGATCTCTCTAATCTAACTTGGGTGCCTTTGGTATTCTTAAGTGTTGCTTCTTATCATTACCATTTTCAGTACAATTAATTGTGCCAGTAAGATAGTGGAAACTATTATGAAGATTTTAGCTTCTACAGTCTCGACATATTTATCATTGTTAAACATAGATTATGGGCTTCCTTAGATATACAGATCTTGGATTGGTCTTAAGTGCTTGAATCATTAAGGCTTATGTGCATTTTAGATTCTTGATATTGCTAGAATTATGTGTTCAGATTGTTCCATACGGTATCAGATTGTTGCTGATATTTCTGAATAAATATTTTAATAAGTTCGTATGCAACTCATAAATGATGATAAAAATATATATATATTGCGATATATTAACTGTCTCGGTAGGTCTTAAAGATCAATGTTTTCATAATATACTACAATATAGCACTATACAAGAGACTATAATTTGTAAGACATAAAGTTTGTAAACATACAACTACTCATACTACAGCTTCTATTTAGACCCCTATTTTATACCTCTTGTTGCTATTTATAGATATCTTTTGAGATAGTACCATTGACGTAAATTTGCTTAATAAGCTTTTGTCTCAATATTGTAGTATAATAAATATCAGGACAATGTATTTCGGGTTGCATTTATACAGGTGGACATATGTACACAGATGGTTCTGTTGTAAAAAACTTCTAGATCATTAAGAGATTTGCTTCTGCGCGACGCAAAATATCTTTAGAATATTGTTTCTCTTGTAGTCTCTCCCTTGTTATTTAGCACGCTTCATCTGTGTCTTAGCCTGTACCAAATTGTTGGCACAAACATCTCACCAATATTAGGGGTCCTTTCATATTTTATTCTAAAATTAGATCACTGACGTCTTGTTATCAAATGTTCAGATCAATCAAATTATTTTGGTCATGTTTACTTACCACACGCTGATGCTTTCCAACATCTTTTGAGATGTATACACACATTTATACATATGTATGTATATATATATGTGTGTGTGTGTGTGTGTATATATATATATATATGTATATATATTGCTTCACGCAAAATAGGATTATAGATTGCGTTATACGTGCATTTACGCATTTACAGATATGTCGCATTATAGACATGTCGCATATCTGTGTATCTACATATTTTGCGTTAATCATAGAGAATATATCAATTTCAGGTATATGTAGGTTCTAAATCCACGATAGCTGAAGGTACTAACTTTGGATCGACAAGAGGAGCTGAAAACGAAGTCACTGAAATGGAAGTATGTACATTAGGAAACAAAAGACGAAATAATTTTTGTATTTGGTCATACTTGTGTTTTGAGTTGGCTTATTTTTTCAAACTAATCCTCGCAGTGGTCATTTATAATTTATTTTCTGCTGTATAGTATTTATAGGTATCTTTCTAAATATAGATTAAGTTAGAGAGAGGGAGAGAGAGAAGGAGAGAAAAAGAGAGCGCAGAGTTTTTAGAGAGATAAAGATAGTAATAATTCGCAAACGCATTATTCTATTAAGCTCAGGCTGGATACATTATTGCCGTAAATACCTTCAGTGGCGAACCCTCTCCTCAGAATCGCTCCCCCTCCCAGGATTCCTGGCAAGGTCACATCCATGTAATAGTAAATAGGCATGAAATCGTTTCAACGTCACTTTAAGTACGTTTAAAATGGACGATTACAGTAATACAATCCATTATGCTATATATAGAGAGACTAGCAGATTGTGTTGGAAGTACCCGCCCAGAGCTTTCGTCACAGCTTACAATACGCATTTATAATACACGAGTATATTTACATAGTACTCGGAATAGTCAAATATCCGGTTAATAGCCTTGAATTCGATTCAGTATCTGTCTACTTGGATGTACATATACACATGTTATTGTATGTTTATATATATATATAAAACTTTACATTGCATCCAACAAATTCAGTCCTAAGGGTTTTACATGTCTCTGCATTTGCAATAGCCAGAAACTTCAAAACAATATTCAAAACAATCAGACGCTTGAGTAACGGCCATAGACCATAACAGATTTATAGTTTGCTCAGGTATCTGACTTCAACATCGACTACAACTGACTTCACTAAATGGCATTAAACGGCACTATTGTAACTGATATATCGCAACCAAGTCATAGAAGGAGTTCTTTCAGTGACAAAACCTTGCAGCTTTTTCTAAAGAAACTCTATACGAGTCGTTTACACGACTTTCGTAAACACGTTGAGCTAGGAAACAAAGTTGGACGATTACAGTAATGTAATTCATGTGCTATATATAGAGAAATATATAGTTGGTTGTCTTGAAATAATTCACCCAGAGGCTGTTACAAGCAACAGAACTCTGGGTTGGTATGCCCAAGTATGCGAGTAACAGGTCTGGAAAATCTAAATATTCCTATAATACCTGTGGATTCCATTAACCTGGATAACGACCTGATACTTTCTTAAATACAGATATAAATGTATATCCAATGACTCATATAGCCTTTACATAGTTTATCTATATTTTATCTATATCTACACTTACAGTAGAGAAGGATGTGAAACCAATATCCGAGAAAGTCAAGTACTCGTTCAAAAAGTAACGCTATTATATCAACAATTCTTATAAGAAGAAAACTTTAATTTCTTTTTTTCTGACCTAAAGGAAATAGACAAGTCGTTGATCTTAGTTGCAAATACATCGGACCATGAAACAAAGATACGAGACTAGTCTTTGCTTTCAGGTGGAACAAAGCGATGTTCCGGGAATCGATTGTGCTTATCTGGCAATGGATACGGAGGAAGGAGTTGAGGTGGTATGGAATGAGGTGCAATTCTCGGAAAGAAAAAATTTCAAAGCCCAGGAGGAAAAGATACAGCTCGTGTTTGAAAACCTTACGCAGCTGGAGCATCCTAACATTGTTAAATTTCATAGGTATTGGACAGATACTCACAATGACAAGCCCCGAGTAAGTGAATTAATTAATCATCCTATCATGGTTGTAACGAAAATTGTAATTTTCTACGTGAGAATACTGCTGAAATTCATTTTTCCTATTCCGTTACTCTCCAGGTTATATTTATAACGGAGTATATGTCGTCCGGATCCCTGAAACAGTTCCTAAAGCGAACAAAGCGCAATGTAAAAAAGTTGCCTCTACAAGCGTGGAAACGGTGGTGTACGCAAATACTTTCTGCACTCAGGTAATACAAATAATATAGTTTGTGACGTTGATATCTATAATATCAACAGATAAGAGCGCATTTTTCAAAGGATCAATCTTTCATGCGTTTGCTTACACATGTCGCAATGTTTCAGTTATCTGCATTCCTGTTCACCTCCCATTATCCACGGGAATCTTACCTGTGACACTATATTTATTCAACATAACGGACTTGTAAAAATTGGTTCAGGTAAGTACTCTTGTAAGAGAAAGAAAAAAAAGTAGTAGAATGAACTTTTTCTGCTAATATCAAATACAGAATGCATACGGGAGTATCATTTTGTATTGAAAACAAACTCAGATAGAGCGTGTATCCATCTCTGATATCTGAATTTGTGCCTGGTAATACTGCAAAAAAATGCAGACTGTCGCACGACAGAATTGTCATTTCCTGTATGAAAGTAATTGTTGTATATATAGCAAGACGAGAGACTATGCTAGGTATCCCCCATCTTCTCGTTCACAGGGTTGTCAGAAGCTTATATCTTTGTTTTGTCGTAATCTCTCATGGGAGAAAAGCAAATATTATGCCGTGCGATCTCTAATTGTCTGAGAAATGCAGAGAAAAGAAATAACTATATTCTTACTGGTATTCGTTCCGCTTATATGTATGAAGTACAAGGCGAAGTAGGTATTTCCGGAATTGTATTATGTGTTTTCTAGTTACTCGTTACTCAGCTGAAGTAAATACGATTTATATGACTCAGCCTGTTGACCGAATAAGCAACGTGGCGAATAACATGATTTGTCATTATTACTGTGTGATATTACTGCGTGTCAGAATAGATGCATCCCTGAAGTGACACAGGCACACGTGATCACACATGATGAAAATATTTGTTTTGTTTCTTTATATAAATGATTATATTTGACTCCGTCGTGTCTCACGAGAAAATTATCACAGATACACAACTGTAAGAGACATAGCGTTACTTCTCTCTGTCTTTATACCCAAACGAATACTGCGAAACCATGTTTGCTAATATATATTCAACAGGAACGCATCAAACGTGATGTTTACTAATCTAATTTGTACATAGCAAAATTTCCGTTATTTTTAGCATAAATATCATCCGCTATATACATATATAGACTATAGAAATGTATAAATCGTGTGTGTGTGTGTTACGAATAGAGAATTGATCATGACTACACGGGAATGAGTGTGGTTTTATCGAATTGTTAAATTCGAATTTACAAATGGTGCTTAGAATTACACATGTGCATACATATTGTTGCTCTCTTTTCGTCTATCTAGATTATAACACGTTTGCCTATAATTCTATTGTAACATTAGTAACATGAGTCCATTAGAAAGATTGTGTTTAAACTGCCTTTTCATATTAGGAGTAACTTGAGTCCTCATTTTTAATTGTAGCAAATAGGCATAATCTAGATAATGAAAAAAACACAGCAAAGCCTCCGTGAAGAGAGAGGAAGTACGAATCGTACTTTCGTACCCGTCCGGAGGATAGAATCCACCAACGTCGGTGTCCTTCAATTGGTGTAATTGTCAAAGGTGGTGAATTTCAAGAAAAAAACATTTGGCAGATTGTGTGTCGTCAACTATTGCCAGCTAAGTAAATTAGGCATAGAGAGGTAAACAATTTCTATACTAATTTTAAGTAGTTTCATTAAACGGAGAGAATTGTGCGGAATAATTGAAATTTGTTTTAGTTACGTTATATAGTGCCACTATGTCGCACTACTTATTCTTCTGATTATTAATTGTATTTTAACTAAGGAGGGCAAAGCGCTCGCGATGTGTGTCTCTTTGTCCTCCTCACAATCACCTAGCGCACGCATTTTCATTGTACTTCAATATTTTTCTCTCTTCTTTTTTTTTTCTCTCATACCCTTTCAAATCCCCGATCAAGAAGGGTTCCTCAAAGGTTTTCCTCTCAAAGGGCTCCGCTCCCCGCATACTTGTTTTGATTTAATGAAAGTGGCTCTTGTTAGCAGAATCACTGTAATCACGATTAAAACATATGCGAGTAAATTATTTGTTTAAACGAAATAACAGCTCACTTTTTGTTTGTGTGTTTGTGTTTTCAAAAAAAAAAAAGAAAAAGAAAAAAGAAAGGAAAAGAAAAAAGAACACATGTTTCTCTTTTCAGAAATACTTTCACATTTGTACATGCGAGAATTATTAACTGTATGAGGGCTCAAGTTACTCTTAGGATTAAATTTTCAGCCAGAACACAATTTTTCTAGAGAGAGGTTTATTCATTCATCTCGAGTAGCCAGCAGACATATAACACGCAAGTGGATACGGCTTTTAAAAGGAGTAACCGAGGTATCCGATAGATAGAACAATTACCGGAAACTATACGAGCCTCGTGCTTTGACTGACGCCCGTTTTTACCCACATGCAGAATCCTGTCTGGTGGCTGCCCCACAACCAAAATTTTTCTAACACATCGTCGAATACTTTCACATTAATATGTCATTTTTATGTTGACGCTTTGCTTGGGACGGAGTGTCTTGTGAAAACGGCAATAATCTCCTTCTAATTACAGTGGCGCCAGATGCGATTCATCATCACGTCAAGACCTGTAGGGCGAACATGAAGAATATGCATTTTGTGGCCCCAGAATATGGAAGTGAGTATACGTGTCTCGGCGGTGGTGTCGTGCGCGCACCCCGATTGTACGTCGATTAACGTCGCCGCTCATTGTCTTTTTCAAGATTCCGTCACACCAGCCATAGACATTTATTCATTCGGGATGTGCGCTCTGGAAATGGCCGCGCTGGAAATTCAGGGAAACGGTGATACGGGTACAATCGTTACCGAAGAGAACATCCGGAAGACAATAGAATCTTTAGACGATGTTCAACAAAAAGATTTTATTCGTAAATGTCTTCAGGTGGACCCGCTTAGTAGACCGAGTGCGAGAGAGTTGCTGTTCCATCCCGTTCTATTCGAAGTACACTCTCTTAAGCTGCTCGCAGCGCACGCCTTGGTCAATTCAGCCAGTAAGTCGAGGAGCGTTCTCCCTCCATACGATACCTCCGAATTATCTATTGCTTTATGATTAGGCTAAGAGACAGTAATTAATAAGGGCCACACATTCCAAGAATGCTAGCTACGACGATCTTGTTCATATTGACTCTCACGCGTTGATGTCGATTTTCTGTAGCCAACATTTCGGAAACAATCACAGACGAAGTGTTGCAAAGGCTATATGGACCAGACACTGTAGTCGCCGAAATAAAATATCAAGGGATGCCCCCGCAGCAAATTCGGTTAAGTGATATCCCCGTTACGGAAAAGTTAGAAAAATTTGTTGAGGATGTAAAGTGAGTATCTCAGTCATGTCGGGATCGTCTGTTTCTTCTTGATAACTTGCTTGACCAGAATCCATTTCACCTTCGTCAGATACGGAATATATCCATTGACTGCATTTCTGGCGAAATTACCGCCGCCCGTTCGATCGAGGGCGATATCGCCCGAGGTGACAGAATCGGTTAAGTCGGTCACGCCCGAGCCCGTGGACGTGGAGTCTCGAAGAGTAGTTAATATGATGTGTAATGTTAAACCTAGAGAAGAAAGTAGTGAATTACTTGTAAGTGCTAGGCTGGACGCCGAGAGCATTCTAATTAGTAGTAGACGGCCTGCGAACGAGCTAGTAAGCACTCTTTTATATCTGTGTGTCTTGCAGATGACAATATTGTTACGAATGGATGACAAGATGAATAGACAGTTAACATGTCCTGTGAGCCAAATGGATACTTCGATGCTTCTCGCACAGGAACTTGTACATTTTGGTTTTATTAACGAGGTAAATGTTCTCCCTCGTGTCCTGTATCAGTCACGAATATGTACCTCTGACCTATGAGACAAGGAGAAGAGAAAACTGGCCAATGAACCAACACAGAACGGGAATTCATTCTCATTATTGTTTCCGTGAATATCGCGGCAACATTGCGTTATCATAGAAACTAAATGTTTTTAATAATTTTCATAATTTTAATCATTATTTTTCATCATTAGTTTTGACAATTTTAGTCGCAACTTTGAATCTTGACCTCAATGAATCGAGCTGTGTTATTGTGTTTATATTCGCAAGCTTCGACTTGTATCGGCTCTTGTTGATCAAGTACTTTCTGTTTCATTGAAAATGCAAGAAGCCCCCGATATCGCGTTAATCGTTGATTGAATATGCGGCAGAAAGAGAGATAGAGAGAGAAGGAAAGAGAGAGAGAGAGAGAGAGAGAGAGAGAGATCTTGCAGAGTGCTTATTTTTGGAACATACATTTTACACATGATCCTATTGCAGAACGATCGTGATAAAATAGCCAATTTAATCGAAGAGGCATTGAGGAGATACTTCAACAAGCAAATGGTAACACCGGGAATGGTATCGTTAACCAATCTTCCTACTCAAACTACTCTATTGCTGCCTGGTCCGGAATTTCCATGCTTGCAACACTTCGACAATTCCGTGTGCAACGCCGCCGCAGTGTCCAATAGTGATAGTGCAACTAACCTGCTGCCAAAAACCTCAGGTATATCCGTGTCAAGTAACAAAACGAATAAGCTTCACGACGACACAGAGCCGCCGACGATCACCGAAAGCGGCAGTTAACCATCCAGGACGTCTGATAACTCAGTTCACTGTGCCACTTTGCACGCTTTATGTATAGACTGGCTATGTATTTTTATATTTAAGTGAACAGAAGGGGGAAAGATGGGGGGGTGGGAGAAGGAGAAGGAGAATGGAAGTAAAGATGGGAGGGTGCCGTGGCTACACCTCTAAACTGACTGCAAGAAAAACAAGAAGTTAGGAATCGCTTAGCGTCTTTACTTTCGTTTCAGTCTGTCGAAGTCAACGGTTCTGTTGTCAAATTATATCGGTTCTCTGTATTTTAGAATTTTTTTACATTATATAGGTATGCGAATAAATTAAAGAAAATGTACGAATCTAATGTAAAAAAGACCAAATACTTGTGATTGTACGATTAAGAGGGCAGTTAGAAGTCCGCTGGTTATCGATTCGTATCTTCACACGCAGCTGTGTGTACGATTTGATATTTAACTGTTGTAATTTACTCATTGGGATGCAATTATGAGAGAGGAGAGAGAGAGAGAGAGAAAGAGAGAGAGAGAGAGAGAGAGAGAGAGGGAGAGAAAGAATAAAAGAAAGAGAAAGCTCACCACGTCCCTTGTAACGGTCTCGTAGAGAATTACGAAGTTTGGAAAATTAAAAAAACCCGTTCGGAATTTCATAGTCTGCGTTTTTCAGAACGACGACGGCGTTCATCGTGACATTTATTTTATGCATGTACAAAAATCGACTGGAATCAATACTTGATCATGCGTACAAAATTACTCTTTTGTACAATTATCGATTGGATCGATTAATATTAAAGAAAGTACCGTATGGGAGCTTGAATATTATTTCGGACGAGTTTCGATGTTTCATCGCGCTCTTGTCGTCTCTCTCGCCAAAATACTCAGCGTGTCGTAAAGTCTAAAGTGTAAAAGTGTGTCGAGCGAATGTGAGCGGCGTTCGCCGAGAGGAAGAGAGAAGGTGACAGCGGCGTACTCGTTCGTTTACCATGTTGTTCTTTCTTTTTTGTTTTATTCTTAGTTACACATAGACCAGATCGCGATTTAATACCGGCTCAAATAGATCTTTGGTGGTAACTCGGATGAAGCCACGGCCCTACTATACTTGGGTATTATTGATGTGATTAAACCAAGGTTATTAAATCTCGATAAAATTAGCTGAAATCCTTGTAAATACTTTATATTTTTAAGAAAAATCTGTTGACACACACAGAAAACTAGTCATATAGGTATATTCGAGTGCTAACAGACTAACACAGATCTTATTACGTCTTTTGCATTTATAACACGTGCTTGGCCAAGAGAGATACTGCTCCAATTTCATACCTCCGTCGAATCGATTTTCAGTGACGCATTTCTCATTAAGTAAACGACTAACCCTACTAGAGGTAACTACTACAAACAACAACATAAACACTTCGATCTTAAGTATGTAAGTAGATTATCAAAACTGAATTAAATGTGTATAGCTTTATAATACAAATTATAAATGATGAAAAAAAAGGCGCGCGATGACTGACTCGTGGATATTATGAAAGGGCTGTACGATGACAGTGATAAATAAATACTTTAACTCGGAATTTTTTTCACAATACCATTATACTCTCGGACTACACCGCCTTCGCCGCTCGCGAACGCTTACGTCGCGTGCCAATTAAAATCTTACGTAGTACAATTTACTTTTAATATTCACTTATTGGAGGGACGATAAGTCTTACGACATTCAATAGACGTAAGCGCGAGTGTTGTCCATGATGCGGCGCGCAAAGCCGCGAGGTTGTACTTGATGACGTACACTTTGACGGATAGAGCGCTAACGATAATCATCTTTCGCACGGTCTCTTGCCGACTCGTGATCAGCGATTGTTTCACGACTTCGGTCTGGCGCGAGATTCTAAGCGACAATGTAAGAAATGAGAAAAGACCGCGCAACGACATGCATCAGCGACTCGCGAATCTTCTGATAACATGCGAGAAACAAGTTTTCTCGCTCAGACGCTTGACAGCATCGACGAATCGTTCATCTTACAAGTCACCGCGAATATGAACGTATTCGCCGATCGTCACCGCGCTTTTTGGACCTTTATCTTCCAAGTTATATCATGTCACAATTATATCATGTTTACGTTTACGAACTCGCGGGAAGAGTCTCCGTTGTAAAGAAATATCGACGAACACCTGAAACAATACACGACGCCCCGCCGGGCTCGCGCCAAGATCCGCGACGGATTCTGTCTTTGTACAATAACAACCTGATTGGCTTGTTTCACGGTGAGAATATTTTCTCGCTACGCGTGTCTCAGCAGTCCCCAGGAGACGGCAAGGAGTCTCAAGCACTCTCCTTCGCGTGTGTGCGATTAAGCAGATAGTCGAGGTCGTGCGAGATGCGGTCCAACATGCCGCTGGTCGCGCTGTCGCAGCCGGTCACCATGATCTCCGGAGTCTTCTTCTCCTCGCCGTCGGGCTGCTTGCGCTCGCTCGTATTGGCGATATCGGGTATGGCGTTGCTGACCGTGTGTTCTCGGTTTTTGAGCTCCGCGCTCGCCAACAGCTCGACGTCGCTCTTCACGGCCAGTGTGACGTCCGGCATCGCGCTCATCCGTGACTCTACATCGGCGCTGCAGAGGACCTTGGCCGCTGGACAATCGGTCGTCGACACGCTGCTCGTCGGCAAGAACAACTTGCTGTCGCGGTACTTGGCGATATCACCGTTGCCACCGCCGCCGTTACCGCTGCCGCCACCACCGCCGTTGCTGCTGCTGCTGCCGCCGCCACCGCCACCGCCGCCGCCCCCGCCGCCGCCGCCGCCGCGAAAGCTACAGCAGTCATTGACGCTGTAGTTGACCGCATCGTTGACGAGGCAACGAGAGCTGCGGTGTGCCGAGAACGTGCTCGCTGCGGTGGTCGAGTCGAACACCGCCACCGGCTCCTGGTACTTGCGCGGACTCGTGCTGTAGTTCTCGAGGTCGATGTCGTCCGACCGGTCCACCCGGATCTCCGGCAGAAATCTGCTGGTCGCCACCACGGCCGTTGACTTGCCAGAGTAGACGGACGACGACTCGGACACAAACTCGCGCATGTCGATGCTGCCCGCGGCGACGCCGCGGACTTCCCGGTACGGCTCGCCGGAGATCGACAAGGTCGCCGGCGGTGTCGCCGAGTCGTTCTCCATCTCGGCGTCACCCTTTGAGCATACTAAAAGCATAGCGAAAGTAATAATCAGCGTAAAAACTAACTCCACGCACAAATAAGAGCAGCTATGAGAGAAACTACGAGCGAGTCGAGCTCTCTCACATATATGCAATACCTTTGATCGGCTCAGACGTGTGCTCCTCGTCCACGCTGCGTTTCCATCTGATTTTTCGCAGCATTGGCCTGATAATCGCAACCTCGGCGTTCACGATGTACACGATGATTATGTCGAAGCCCTGCGTCAACAAAGAATGACTTTCATGCCGTTTCAACATGTACAGCAATTATGTAATTACCGCTGACGCGATACTCACCAAAGCGAACGATAAAGACGCGAATACGTAATGAAAGATTATGGACGAGGAATTGATGTAGATAATAGATGACGATTCCATGGCGATGATACCGCAGATGATGATAGCCGCGTGATGCAGTGTTCGTATCCTGCAATCCAGAAGTGACGATGATAATAACTCATACTCGTAAGCGGGATATCTCGAATGCTACAGATCGTACTACAGGCTTTTGTCCGTACCTCGTTTCTATTGCTTCTCTCTTCATCACGTTCTCCTCCACTAGCGTGCGGACTTTGTGCAGCACCCCCATGTACAGCAATATGAACACCAAGAACATCATCGTGGCGCAGCTGACGAATATGTTGTAGACGCCGCTGCCATAAATGAGCCACCAGGATTCGTGTCGCCATCCGGTACTCTGGTGCGTAAGTTCAGTCGCGAATACAGCCATGATGGGGACACCTGAGAACGTAAAAGTGTCGTTAGGCATTTAATAAATACTACGAGCGAATATGCGCAATCACGCGTAATTCTATACCCGCGATCGGGCATAATTAATTGAGCACGTAATTCTCACCGGTTATCACGGCGATAACTGTCGGTTGAAGATGCTGACTCGGTCGGATCTGTGTAAGCTCAGCGTACACTATCAGAGCCTCGGAGATGGGCGCCGACATGCCCACAAGGAGAAACGCTTCCAATCCGATCGCCACGAGCGAGTACGATGACTAAAACACACATAGCGAGGAGTTGGAGAAAATGTTCGGAGCAAAATCGAAGTACGTAGAATGCAAAATAAGATCCATCGAGCAAAGTCGCGCGCAAAGTGAGTCTTTTGTCGGAGCAAACCGTGGAAACGATGGAGTTGGCACTCTTGAAGTCAACGGTTCAGGTCAAATCGTTGCTGGGGAAGATAACGTTATTACCTCTGGCAGATTATTGTGGACGGCGTAAATGAAGATGGCCATCGCGCCGATTAATGCGCCGCAGCACTGGAGCTTCAAGAAATTCAGCCAGCTTCTGTGCTTCCACCAAAAGGTGCTCAGTATCAGCGCGGACAGCAAACACTGAACCAAGCAACTGCTACATCCGAATATTATAATGAACGTGGTCTGTTCTGTCTTCGCCAGTACTACCTACAATGTTGGAAAAGTCCATTGTAAACGACAGCAACTTTAACGCTTGAGCTCGAACCTTCTTAAGTGAATTATTTCATGACATTATCAATATAGTCCGGAAGCATAAGTGACGCCGGCGGAGGAACATCGATGATCTTCTTAGATTGGAACTATATTTACTTTTACCGCGCGAGTCGTCAAGAAAACGGCGACGGTGCCCGCGGTGGGACACAGACAGTGTGTCGTGACGTCGCCGAATGCTGTATTCGCTATGCAGCTGTTGAGATCCCACGACCCAGTGTTGTCCATCAGGCCGCACGACGTGTTCCAGGAGCTCGTTTGGTTTTGCAAATGCCGGATTTGCAAGTCGACCCATATCTTACTGAATTTATCGATCCCGAAGGAGGGTACCGCGACGCTGATCACTCGGGAATTGATGCGAAACTCGAGATCCGTGCCGTCGCTGGAATTTCGTTCGATCTCCATTCATATTCATCGCGCATTTAATTCAATTGACGGAATTTCATCTTTTCGTAAAATCATAAATATATAGTTAGATTACTTGCAAAGCAAACTCGCCGATTTCTCTCTCGCGCTACAATAACGACTAAATGAGTAAACTCACTCGAGCTCCGTGACATACGCCGTTGGGATAAAGCGGGACATGTTTTTGTACACGATAACAATCCCGGTAAATGTGCTGTTAGACTTTACATTGCGCTGTCTCTTCTTCCACAAACGCACAGCTATTTTATCCTCGTACCAATCAGGGTACCTGTCATAATAAACGATCATTCGCGACATAAATACACAGCTATACAGACGTGGATTTATTACACGATGAAAAAAAAGCTTTGCATCCTGCGGAAAGGTAGGCAAAAACGTGGAGTAATTACACGTGCTCGGCCGACGGCATTTGAAGCGAATGCGTGATACTATCCCCAGTGTGAGATTGCAGTTGCTGAATATCCACGACCATGGACGACAGGGCCAAATGTTTGTACACTTGCTTGAGTTGCTTGGACCAGTGAATTAGATTGCGTTGCGTAAGCTGCAGCAGCACTGACAACTTCTGAAAACCCAGATTTGCAGACTCGTAGTGGAGTGGTCTGACCGAGTCTCGAGAATAAGAAAAAAAAAAAAAGAAGGTTGATGCTCAAAAGCACGGCACAATTTTGAGTGGCGACTTTCATCCTTGAAAAGTGTAGGACTTGAGCGAATAACTTCCATGTTGCAATTGTCCCACTCAAAAGTGCCTTGTGCTCTCGGACTGTCCTCCTCACGACTCTCCTTCTCAATTTTAAAACCGCGTCATTTTTACCTCTTGACTCAAGATCGAGTACTCGTCGCTCAGTATACGATTTAATATGTGAGTGAGCGCCTCCGCCGAGACCGACGCGTTCAGCGAATCGATATTGTGCTGATACCGTTCGATTTCCTCCAACATGCTTATTATTCGATCGCCTTCGCCGGGGTAGAGCGGCAACGTGCGTTTGCGCAGAATCTCCCAAAAGGCGAGGATCGTGTCCGAGCTCGTGGTATTTTGGTAACCCAACGTTAGGCTTCGAAACTGCGAAGTAGAGTTTGCAACGTTAGATGCATTTCTTCGGCAGTGGAAACTTGGAATATCTTTAATCAATTTTGATTAACCCAGCCAGTGTTGGCGCTCGCCACATTAATTAAAAGACCAACATTCTCTTGTGGAAATTACTCTGACGTTTCCATTCGCACGAAGTCGTTAGCAATCTATCTTTGAGATACACACTTTTATAGCGTATCGTCATAAATATTGAAATACGACTGGAGTGGCGCATCAAAAAATTACCACGACCTTTAATTCACTCGTGTTGACTCGTCCGACGTATAGCGATTTATTACAGATGTTTCGTATTACCGGTCAAGGCTGTCTCGACTCGCCGTATTCTTCGTAAAGTCATCGTGAATCATCACGAGCCGAATGCAAAATGCTGGTGGGAACGAAATGCTCACGTTATTGTAAGGCGAGACCAACGGCTTGTACAAGCATAACGAGAAGTCCGGTATCTGCCATTCGGGCGTAGTGGCGTCCTTCATCGAGCAGAGTCTCGAGACTCGTCGACCCACGAAGTATCGAGGGCACTCCAGCAACGCCTCCGATCCTGGCGCCGTGTCCGGCCATTGCAGACCCCAGGACTTGCCGCCGATGCAGATCGGTATCAATGTTCGATTCATCACTTCTACACGGACGGACATGGACTTGTGCGCTACATTGCAGGTGTAGATGGCGGATTTCTGGAATGACAAGCAGGCTATTTAACACTCAAGCTACAAAAGCAATCAAAATATAATAGGTGTGTAATTGCACGTGAAAATTACTCCAACTTACGTAACATTTGCATTTATGTAGTGTTGAATTTATATAACAATGCATTTATATGCGCTTTATATTTCTCATAGACATTGAATAAGACCGAGAAAAACAGATGAACATTTTCACCCTTGCGTAACATCTCTCCCCTCGAAAACCTATTTCATTTCAATTTCGCTTTCGCAGTAAAGATAAATCGCCTTAGTTGCTGAGGGTTCCGGTATAAAATAGATGAAGCAAATTTCTATCGGATCTTCAGACTAACGAGCGACTAAGTCAACTAAGTAAGTTGCAAAGAAAGAGATCTCGAATAGGCGGAAGAAAGATGGAAGGGCCAGAGAAATCTCTGCGCGACGCGAAGACGATGCGCTTCTACCTGAGCGTTAGTGATCTTCAGGATGCTACCCGCTGGATATAGATCCTCCCAAATCGCTTGACCGGGCTCCAGTTTCAGCAGAGCGCGATTCTTCGTCCAACCGAACCCGATCCCGATGTTTCGCATGTTGGGCGTCGTGCATGTCAGCTGAATATTGCTACCCTGTGAACAATAGTTTGACGATATCGGTGTAGGTTTCTCTCGGGATTCGATCTCGCAGATCGTCTGCGACGGGCTAATCTAATAATCGCGGCTTACTTTCTCTATGATGGCGCTCATCGGCACCACCTTTACGTCCGGCTCATCTCTAATCTCGATGTAGATGCTCTTGCACTGCTGCACGCCCCAGTCCACCACCTGACACGTGTACTGACCGCCATCGAGCAGGGTCGCTTTCTCGATGGTCAACACCGATGTGTACACGTCCGAGCCGTCGTTTGGCAAATTGCTGATCCAAATTTCTCGGAAACTAACATCCAAGTCAATGGAACACATGAGTCGAGATTGTTTTCTTTATTTCGTAAAGGGTGAAACACGGGCGTGTTTCAACACGGCCCGATGTTACCCGACATCGTTTGAACTCACGATTGAAATAAACAATTGGATCGAATACCTGGTGGCTTTGCTCGTGTTCACCAACATGCCGTCCTTGTACCAGGTAAAGTTTATGCCGTAGCTTCCTTGAGCGGCGCACGACAAGACGATCTGATCTCCCAAGTGAACATCATAATCGTTCACCTGATTGATCCGCAGATTCTAAAAAGTGGCTCAACTCAGCGAGTTTCACGATCGCACAGCGTTCGATTACACTCTCGACAGACTTTCGATCATAATCACTTGATGGGTTAGCGAATTATATAATAATAACAGACAGAAGAACGAAAGGAGAGAAAAATCAGCGCGCCAAGTCGTAGAGAAGAAATTCGCAATAATAATCAGCAAGAATATATAAAAGCATAAGGAACGATAAACAGAAGAAGTGAGAAGAAAAGGGAGAGAATAATCGATGAAATTACGATAGCTAAGGCAATTGATCAATCAAGTCTAATTATCGAGACATCAAGCGGTTGATACGCAGATATCGCAGTGTCCCGCGGTAATCGCAGACAGTTGTACCTGCAACTTGAGTGCGGGCTTCTGCTGGAACGTGAAGTGCGTGGATTCCAGGGCGATTTCGCTGAGACGTCGACGCTGCACGAGTCGATTGAGCGACTCGCGGATCTTATCCCCGTCGTCGGAGTTGCCGAAAAAATGAAAGGTAACCTCGGCGGTGGGTCTGTCGAAGGGAATGGTCATGATGAAAGAGCGATCTGGCGAATCACCTCGCGCAAAGTACAGTGACACATTCGCAGCAAAAGACTTTTCTAATCGAGCAGAGAACCGAGAGAGTTTACTTGACAGCGGGAAGCGATCGTTCCCAGAGTATTCTCTATGAAAGAAATCGTTCGAGAGACCTCGCGGTCAACCTGCGTATAACTGTACGTTTTACCCTTCAATGTGTACCTACTCACGTCACGCTCAGGATTTTTAGCTCCTCCATTGAAGTGATATTCGAGTTCCTTAGGTACTTGGCGAGCTATAAGAACAAGTACCAGATAATTAAGCAGGTGTGTATCGGTCGCGCGGCAAGAAGCTACGCGATAAGATACAACGGATGCGGGCATGGGAGAAGGGGCAAAGTAAGAGATCCTTGTTCGAGTTTCTTGTTAAAATTTCACATATAATCTTATTATCGTGTAGTGTTACATAAGTATAGATATCCTTCTCGTCGAGACGCGCGCTTCGGCGGCGCCGAGTTTTACAAAGAGTACGCGGCGAAGATCGACTCGCTTCGCGCGACAAATCACAAGCAATCTGGAACTGTACACGCATGTTACATAGATTAATTAATACATTCTTATTCAGCTACCACCCCGGTGCTCCCGCAAGGCAAGTCACTCGCGCGTGGTATGTCCTTGTTCCAAGGATAAATCACAAGAGGACCGCGGCCCTCGGGCGGCCCGGCGGTACTCGCGATTTTTCTCAGATAATAAGTGTCCGGATGTCAGTATCCTCGTTGATGAGACACGCGCGCAGGGCACGCACACACATACAGACACACGTATGTGCCGCGTGCCGGACTGATAAATTCCCATTATTCGCCGTAGTGGAGGATCTCCTCAGCGACGACCGTCCCCTCCTCAGCGAAATGCCTTGGATGATGCGTAAAGGACCGCGCGCGGCGGTTAGTTTCAACTTCCTCCCAAGGACCAGTCTGCGAGTTTCACTCCGGCGACTCCAGGAAAAATGGATCGTCGTTGGTAATGAGGACGCAGGACATGTCCGCGCTACCCGGGCACAAGTGCGCCCGTATCCGCTCCCGGGACACCCTCAGCACCTTGACGCCGATCTCGCGGCAATAAGCCTCGAGCAATATCATGTGCAGGTGGCTGGCCGAATCCATCTCGACGTCGAACGGCACGAGACAGACGGTGTCTTGGCTGTTGCATCCCCGGGAGGCCAACATCCGCAGGGTCGGCAGCATGCCGCATGTGATGGTGCTGCCCTGGCAGCCGAGGCCCTTCTGCTCGCACCTTGACGACGATTTTCCGCTGCAAGCCATTCTCGATCAGTCATCCACCTCGTTACGTAAGTCCGCGGCACGATCGCGGCTCGATAAAACGACTCGCGGAAATACCCGGGTGACGATTTCGCGCGAATCGCGTGCTACGACTTTGTATTGATTTACTTATTGCACACGGCGCGCGAAAAATCCCGCGTCGATCAGTTTCGCGGAGATCTCGCGATAAACGTTTCTGCTGATTCAAGGAACGATAAGAATTTTCCTCGACGTGTCCAAGGCGCGAACAATTTTTTTCAACAGAGAGACCAGCTCCCAGGTATCAGAAGTTATCTGATTTTTGCGCGAACAAACCCGGGGAAGAGATACCGCGCGCTCTTTTGCAAGTTCTAGATTCAGTCCCCGGTGATAATCGATCGATTTCTGCAATGTCACGAAGCCACGGCGAAAGCGAGGCTAAGCGCGCGCATCTGCGTTTTCTGACAAATCGTAGAAACTCTCGTCTGAGAGGCTTAAAGTCGGGAGGACTCGCGAACGAGATAAATAAAAATCGTCCAGCGTCCGCCGTGAGTAAGCATCTTTTTATCGCCGTCGAGCAGAACGCGACCGTCGCGGCGCGGCTCTTCGAAATTTGGCGCTCGCGCCACGTGAGTGCCAACGCGCGCGATAGCCACGTGGAAGAACGAAACGCTCTCTCTCTCTCTCTCTCTCTCGTTCGTGTGTATTTCGTGTGTTCCGGATAACTACCTGTCGCTCATCGCGGCCTGCGCGTGGTAGGATCGTGGTTCCTGGCAGCAAGTCATATCGGTCAGTATCTCCGGTTGCTCGTTCGGCGGTTTAATCCTTAAGCCTCTCTTGCACACTTCACTGAACGTCGGAATTTTCTCGGCCTCGCTAATGGCGGAGGGACGAATCTTCCGCACTTTCGCTGGAAGCTCCACGAGGTGGTTAATCCCGCTGGACTCACAGAAGCACCGACAGGGAGACAGAGAGATAGAGAAAGAGTTTTCTCGTCTCTCCTCTTCTCCTTTCTTCTCTCTCTCTCTCTCTCTTTCTCTTGTTTTCCCTCGAAGACGCTTCCGCTCTGACGCAAACTGGCGCAACGCTCGTGGAATTGTTGTCGCAGCAACGGAGGCGCTTAGACTAGCTCTGATCGGACTCTTCTCTCACAAGCTTCTGTCTACGTTTGACCTCGAGGTGCGCGGCGCGCGACTTTTATATCGATCTCGCCCCACCAGCTCATCACCTTCGCGGATAAACCGCCACTGCCGCCGTCGTCGCCGTCGCCGTCGTCATCGTCGTCGTCGTCGCGCCGTTGGGCTACGTACATAACGGAGCTTTTTATCGGTACACGCCCACACGCGAGCTTTACCGGGAAACCCGTGGAGGAAAAGACCGCGCGACGAGTCAAGGGAAACCGTCGGAATTAGATCGACGGTCCCGGCGCACCAAATTTCTCGGACAGAAGGCAGGTGATAGGAAGAGAAAGAGAGAGAGAGAGAGAGAGAGAGAGAGAGAGAGAGAGAGAGAGAGACAGCGGGATCTTTTTCGAAGTCCTTAGAACATAGATTTCGTAAAATGCATTGCGGAAAAACGGAAAATCCGCGGAAAGAGCAGAGGGGAAATAAATTACAGAGAAGAGTGACGGCGAAAGAAAAATTGAAAATTCCCGTCACTCGTCCTTCTCCCTCTCTCTCCCTCGACAGCGTAAAGAATAATAGATGCATATAAATAATAATAATCTTGATAACAACAACAATGGCCGAAAAAAAGGACGGATCAGATGAGAAATTTATTACAATTGGGACAAGTTTCCTCTTAAGCCGCACAGCGCAAATTTAAGCATTAAGTTGGACGATCGGAAACCGGATCAAAGTGCATGCGTTTGTTATCTGCCGGGGAGAAAAACAGAAACAAGTCGAGGCAAATAGAGGCTCGAATTAAAAAGCAATGCGATCAATGTGCGCGCAGAATTAGCAAGTCGCGAACAACAAAGTGGCGAAGGTGACGGTGAAACGCGCGACGACACACGGTCGATGGTCGATGGTCGATGGTCGGTAGCGTGCAGAGATCGGCTGAATAATTCGGCTTGGCGCGGAATTCCGGGGGACGCGGAGCAACGGCGAAATGTTGTTGCGGGTGACGCGGAAGTAAGCCGATGGTGCAGCTTCGCGTCGTTGCTGATTTATTCCAACGCCACTTCGAAAGAGCATTTGCGCTACACACAGTTGCGGGCCGATCGATAAACTGTACTTCCCGAGTACTTGCCGAGAAGGCTTCGGCTTTTTGCGTTGCGCGCTCGCTCGCGTGCCCGCGGCTTTCGAGCGGTTCGTCGAAGCGCCAGTTGTGGGTCGAGAAGTTCAAGGTGAGCAAAAGAATCGTCGCACCGGTCGCTTCGCTTTTCGCGGATACGCGAGTGTTAATGATTCTTCGATATGGTACACTACCTGGAAACGAAGCGTGCCGAGCTTTCGATGAACCAAAGCATGCGCGCTTCACATCTCGCGTCGCTTTGTCGCGCTCATCGCAAGACAATTATCCGAGGATTCTCGAGATTTGTTGCCACAATATGCCATAATACAACAGCGAGTAGCGCTCTTGTAATGTCACTTCTTCTCACATATTCATGTTTACATGTTATACATGCTCATGCATAAAAAGATTGTATCTGAAATGTATAAATTTCACACAACGTACACCAGAGTCATTGATTATGCAAAGTGAGATACGTTGGAAAAAATTACCTTCGCTGTCGCGATAGAAGCTCGAACGGAAGAATGAGAAGTCCTGTTTATTTGAAAATTTCGAGCGAGAATGCATCTCGCCTCCGGGGAGCGGGAGCGTTGCTCTTCGGCTCACCGTTTCCGTTCAATTTGCGATCGTCGTGGCGAAAGATAACGTCGTCCGTTGATTCCGACGAGCGATACATATTTATGAATACCGCGACCTCGTTAAAGCGCCAATGAAAGGGGAAATTACGTCCTCTAATCAGCCTTAAACGCTCGAGATCGCGCCGCACGAGACTTTCAGCGGGCGGGGGAATTTCAACGGAATTTAACGAGAACGAAACCCGACCCGACAGTCGTGTTGGGAAACATAATTACTTAGTAATAGCGCAAACAAATTTCCATCGACGATGGCGAGCGAGGGGGGGAGAGGGAGAGAGAGAGAGGAAGAGAGAGAGAGAGAGAGAGAGAGAGAGAGAGAGAGAGAGAGAGAGAGAGAGAGAGAGAGAGAGAGAGAGAGAGAGAGAGAGAGAGAGAGAGAGAGAGAAATAAAGACGGCCGGTTCTGCTCGCAGTGACGCGCTAGATATCAATTCAAGTGGATTATCTAACAATCTCATCGGCTCCACAGCCACGTCCTCTTCAGTCAGCGGGCAAGTGCGTCGCACTTATATGGACAATCACGATGACACCGCTCTTTTTCTCAAGTTCACTGACAACTGACGAGGAAGGTTCACCTCGGGCACAATCGAAATCTGAAAGTACAAGTACGCCCTTAGTATCGCGTTTCCTATGAGGTTCGGAGCTCACCAGGTGTACCAGGTGTAATCAGACATCCAAGAAGGAGTGCGATATCGAGAAACACGAGTTTGCAATATACAGTCTACAAATAATGGGACAGATTAGATAAACGAAGACTTGAAACTCTCACCGAGATAGCAAGTTGGCGCGCTATGAGGTAACGCAAGGGCTGGGAACCTCCTATTTTTCATCATTACTTCGACGGTTAGCGAAGTATTAGCGAACGGCTAGCAAAGTTAACGGAGTTACCACAAAGAGAGAGAGAGAGAGAGGCTCCGCAGGCGAAAATTCCACGTCACTTTGTGCACTCGAGGAAAACGAGCCCAGAGCTCCCCTGAGAGTTCTCTCCTTTCGTTGAATGTTGCAACATGTACGTGCGTGCCTTATGTCGACTCGGGTCCAATTTCATCATCCGCGAGCACCTGACCAGGAACTGAGCCACGTCGACCGACCGCCGTCGCGGCTGACATGGTCAATAAACTTCATTTCGACAGGCGATCCGCGATCGCTCTTCGTGCACCCGCCCCCGATCGAGATTACACATGTGCTCATGTTATATTAATCCTATATATATATATATGTATATGTATATGTATCTCTTTCTCTCCCATATACGTCCGACAGAGGGATGATGCAAGCCTTTGTTCCCCCGCGTTTCATCAGTCGCGCAATCGCACAATTTCCGCGATAACGGAAACGAGGGGATTAACAATATCCACCTGGGGAAGTATTAATATCGCCGTCTGTGTCCGCGGTTGTGCCGCGGTAACCTTTTCGCTCTTTCGCGAACGGCGAGGGTGAGAAATATCGAGCAACTGCCACGAGCACACGACGATATTAATTTTTATTAGGACGAAGCACGACCTAATTCTTTTTTTGTCGTACTCGATGAATTCGCCGCGAGTTAATCGAGAATAATAGCCCGATGGCCTACGGTTAATGAGTCTGTAGGGCCCGGCAGCAGGATGAAACGGTGAATAATTAAACTAATGATTCGATATTCGATAAACTGTACGCGCGATAAATTAAATTTTCGCTGAAGGGAATAGAATTCCTGGTTCTTGGAAGTGGATTTTATCCGAGAGAAATTTCGCTTCCTCCAGCTTCGGCTTCGGCTTCGGCTCATCCATCGTTATGTTAATTCATTATGTCAGTTCATTTAAATTTTTCTCTCCCTTGCGTGTCATACGAAATCACCCTCCGAACTTCAATTCTAGTTTCTCAAATTTCATTTCCAGATACTACCGGAACACTGAAACTGAGCGCAATATGTTCCAATTTCGATATTCAACTGCGTACAATATCGGACCTATTAACCCGTATGAGAGGGAGAAACGCGGAGAACATATCATAATGAGATATCGATATTATAAATGATAGTAATTAAGCGTTGAACATACAGAGTGACGATCAATTCGAAAGGATATTAATTAAATGAACGATCATTACGATAACGATGATTACGTGAACCTCACGTGCCGTGTGTGTCCTATAAAGTGTTCTATAAAGTCGTATAAAGGTCACAAAAGCCGAAGGTTCGCCTTCGTAATAATATTTGTTTTACAGCGGCTATGCGCGCTTTGTATTGATGAGTATAACCGGCTCGGGTCCGTTGATATTGTTACTCGGAAAAATGCACGGCGGGTGTATTGCGTAATAGCCGTGTTTTTTTTCGATGTGATATAATGAAATTACGTCGTGGCAAATTACATCAGCGGCGAGGAAACGTGTTTGCGATAATTAATCTACGACAAAACGCCGGATGGATAAAGGGTAGAAGACAGAAAGAAAGAGCGAAACGGGAGGTAACGAAGTTTAAAAAAAGTTATCGAATTAAGGTCCCGGCTTTGACCAGTTAATAGACCGTGTACGTCTTCAGCCGAACGGAAGAGTCTTCCTTTTAAACAGAAAATTCAAATTAGTGAAGACAAAGATGAAGGAAAAAGGTTACTCGCGGCCGATTTATCTGAGACTCTTTCTGAAAGTTTATTTAGGATTCACACCTCGCTAGGATTCGCTACACTGTTTGACCTACTTCTTACCCAAGAAACGTTGATCGATGGAACGTTTTCCGGTCAAGAACCTCGCAGGCGCGCTACCGTCAGCGTTTCACTGAGAACTATATTTTGCAACACGGATCGCTGGAAATCCCAAGACGTCTGGGACAGGGACGCCTTCCAAGTCGCCTTGCAAGTTTCGCGATAAGGTGATTCCCCGTAAGAGCCATATAAATGTGGCTGAGAGTACTCGAGCGCATATATATATTTTCTTACACGGAAACATCAAAACGCGTCTCAATTTCGGAGAAAAATCAAGCGAAATTCGCGCAATGGAGCAACGAGCTGCGCAATTTTTATTTGTTTATTTTTTCAGGTTTTTAGATAATACGACTTGCTGCATTTTCCAATGTTTTCGTGCTTACGAACTCAGTACAAAGCGTCCGGTAGTTGTGATTATAATTGGATTGTGTGGTTATTCGCAGTCGGGGGACCTATTTGCGCAATAAATTCCATTGTAACGTCATCGATAACCGTGCATGCAACACATTCTGTTTTCTTTTCACCGACGCGATAGAAATATACGATTGGATCTGTGAAAACGGTTGTAATTTGCCACGAAATTCACAAATGTCGTCTCGCACAACAGTGCGGCAAGGCGAAACACGTGATTAATGTTACATCGTTTCAGTGATCACTGTCACGGTTGTGCCGGAGTGCGCACTTGTTTTTCCCCGTTGCTCCCATGAATTACGAACGTTATTCGAATTATGAGCGCAAATGCAAATTTTCTCGCGGGAAGAACCGCAACGTCGACACATTTCTTGCGTATCTTTCGGTGACATGGCCGAACGAATTTGTTAAAGTTAACGCGGCAAGTTTTTCAAGCTCCGCTCACAGAGCGTCCTCGTGATCGATAAGGAGGTGTCTCTGACACCAATGTGAAGCAAAATATTTTCTTGCCCGCGATTCTCAAATCAGTCGCGATCCAATCGGTCGGCAATCTTATCGCGTATATCGGGTAAGACAAAAATTTCTTATTATCGTCCGCACCGGGATTGCGATCGCGATAATCTTCTCAGAAGATAATCACGGCTTTCTATCGAGAAACGGAAGTTCTCAATGGACGATTATGTATGCCGTTCTTCTCTCTCTTACAATAGCCACTTATAAAACAAATAACAAGTTTAACTCCGGGAATTGTGTTTATTTTAGGACTCCCTGATAGCGGCGATAGTGTGCTGGGTAGACGGGCTATAATTAACTCCCGTTTCTAAGCCGTCAGCCGTCATGATCGCGAGAAGTGTCGCATGCTTGAAAAAACGCCTCATCGCGAGAAAATTCTCGCGGAGCACAAAGGAAATCTGGGATCATGTTCTGCGGAAGAACCATGGGATGTCGCTTACAGGATTCACGGAGAGCCGAGGGGACGTGGTGAGGGCGATCTTGAACAATACCGAGGTCTCTCGCGATCACATGACCCCGGAACTGAAGTTGTTCCTGTTGACGGAGAATTGTCCTTTGTATCGCGAGCCCTTCGTCGAGGCGAAGGATGACGATAGGCGACTCGACGCATTCCAGGACCCGTTCTGGTCCATATATTGGCCTGGCGGACAGGTGCTCACGAGGTTCATCCTCGACGACAGGGAGCGAGTTTTCGGACGCGGGCCGCGAGGTGCGGGGAAAGGTGCACCAAGAAGGATACTGGATCTGGGCGCAGGATGCGGCGCCACGGCGATAGCCGCGAAATTGATCGGTCCGTGGCAGCAAGTGGTCGCGAACGATATCAACGAAGGTCAGTACATCTGGTGCGATGATTAATCAGTGGGCAGCCCCGGCAAGCCTCTCCTCGACTCGGATCGCGCGAGTCGTTGCGAGAAATACAAATCAACCCGGCATTGTTAACATATGCGCGACACGTCACGAGTAACCACGCAATTGAATTTTCTTATCTAGCGAGGAAAACTTCGCGCTTCCAGCCGCGCAATGAGGCCGCACTCTCTCTCTTTCTCTCTCTCTCTCTTCAACGTTTATTAATAGGATTCCCGGAATTCTCTCTCTCTCTCTCTCTCTCTCTCTCTCTCCCTCGCTCTTATCTGTCGCGGTCCGATAATGTTCATTATCGCGGTATTTTCGTTGGAAAAAAATAGCTCGGATGCAGGATGCGAGCGAAATAAAATACTACGAGTTCGGGAGTCCCTGAACACACACGACACAGTGGGCGACCACAGTCGCGGTGTGTCCTTGCGTGATAACACGTAACTGATGATAAGGCTGGTTTCCCAGGTTACAAGAGCGGCGAAAAGCCCCGTGAGGCAGAGCTTCATTGAGATACGTGTGAAAAATACGCAGGTGGAAATAATCTAGCGAAAAATTCGCGCTCGCTCGCTTTGCTCGCTCTATTGATATTTCATGCAGCCGATCGGCCAATCGCACATCGCGACATCGTAGCTGACTGTGACACCGCAAGATTTTCGAATGATGTAACCGATAGCGATCGTTTCTTGACGACTCCGTTATCTAGCCAGTTATCGTCGGCCTGACGACGCTTGCAACTTGCGTCGAATTCGTTATTAAAAGGACACACGCTGCAACGTCGACTCGATCGATTCGGTGATCTATCGGTGCGAAACTGCGTCGTGCGAAAAACGATTCGTGACGGGTCATAAATTTCCGGGGATAAATGCGCATTGATATCACAAACATATATGCAACGTGCGGTTATTGCGCTTGTTTTGCAGTTTCCTCGGTGAAAAATATATGAGGATGAGAGGTAGAGAGAGAGAGAGAGAGAGAGAGAGAGAGAGACCTTTCGCTTTGTACAAAGTTCCTGCAAACGCAGGAGAAGATATGCATGATATATATGCCTGTATGCGCGGGGAATTACTCGCTTGTTTGAATAACAATCTAACTGCGATCGGGAGAGCGGAAAGATGAGTCAGTAGCGTAACTAGAGCCTCAAGGAGGCTCCCGATTAGCGTATGAGAAGCCTCCAACCAATAGTTCGCCGAAAAACAAATAGCAGCCAATAGTCCGACAATGCAAACACGCGCGAATTGCGCTTTTACTCTAAAGTCCAAAACTTTTCGTCTCTTTTTTCCGTCGGCTTTAGAAAGTTTCCGGCCACGGGAATCCCCTGAGGTTCCGGCCAGGCTCGAGACTCATGGCTAGCTCGTTGGCTCGAGGAAATACCAAATGGACCAGAATTGACGTCACTCGTTGTGGTCAGGTATACGCACGCTCACCTGTGCGTATACCTGACCACGCGCGTATACGCGCGTGTGTATGTGCGCGGGGACGGCCAGGTGTGCATTGAATGAACACGTCGCGACGGCGCCGACGGTAGCCTGTGGCGAGCCTGGCCGTCAGATAACACTGAATTCCGACGGTGTGATTCAGAGAAGAATGCCGAATGCGGCCCGGCCGATTCCATCCGCGCGTTCCGCTCGCGCGCCGGCAACGTGCGTTGCGAACGCGCGTTGCCTGCCGATAGTGGCTATCGGCGGCTGGCAGTATGCTGGCACTAATTGCACACCGTACGTGGAATTAGTGCGCGGTCGCGAGGGAGAAGGTTCGTTCTATCAATGAACCGATTGCGTCGCGCGAGAGGAGACGTCAGGAGAGACGTCTCCTCTCCCGCGACGCGGCGGTTTCCTCGTGACGAGCGCGTGGCTGCGCCACTGCGACGCGCTTTCGTCAGCCGTGTATTAGTTAGTGACACACGGCGACGTCACTCGACTCGCCGTTCGACTTTGCAACTCCGCAACTATTTATTGCGCGTCAAGGAGAATCGCGCCAGGGCGGCGATTTCGCGTTAGGCACGGTCGCTCGTTATTGATAGCGTTATCGCGGCTCCCGTTATCGCGCCTGCTATCGTACAAGCGCGACAGTCCGTTCTTGCATTAGAACAAATAGGATAATTTTTGATCAGATAACGATTTGAGACTGTTAACGCGTCCCAGGCGAGGAGAATGTCCCAGGAGGAAAATGTCAGCGCGAGGGCGCTGATCTTCCGCCGTTCATTCGCAACCGCGGATCTGATTTCCGGACTGTCTCTCGAGTCCGCCGCGGTCGGTGCCGAAAATCTGCGGTTTTACGAGGAAGTAGATTATGACCGTCGAGTCGATGGAAATGAGGGGAATGAGGGTCGGAGATAAAGGGTGAGACAAAAGGGGACAAGCAATTGCTAATTACGAGCAGATAACACGCACAGGCACACAGAAGCGTACGAGCGGCGAGGAGCGAGACAATGGATTCACGGCGAAGCGAATAATGATCGCTGAATTTGTAGAGATAAAGGGTTCCTGTAGAAAACAAGCACAAACACCCGTCGATTATAAGCAATGCGGGGAAACCGCACGAAAGCCGCGGTAAAAGCGCAGCCGAGAACTCCCGATGAGCGACCTGTGCGAACGCATTACGTAATCCCGCGATTAGCTCGAATTTCCGCGGACGACGATTTTTAACGGAGAGTTATTCCAGAGTCGTGCTTCCAGATGAACCCGCGGAATAAATGAATCTCCGGAGAGGTCATTACAGGGCGTGCGGTCCGCGGTTATGTATTACGCTAACAGCTGGGCTCGTAAATTTATTCCGGCCCAAGCAGGTCAGGAGGCAATTAAGAAGTAGCGCACTTACGCGCGGGTTTCCCCGTCTCACGCAGATGCTGGAATGAAGGGCTTGCCCCTCGTGCGTCAGTGAAAGGTTGTCGATTCTCGGTACTACATTCCTCCAACACAGAAATCGACGATCGATACTTTCTCCTTAGCTGTTGCCGGCGAAAACGGCAACGAAAGATGACGAAAGATGATCGTCTCACTTTCGCAGAATACAACCGCGGATTTTATTATCAGTCGCTACAATAAACATCTCGATATCGCGGTTTTCCGAAACGCGGCCGCAGGAAAAGCAGAGAGAGAGAGAGAGAGAGAGAAGGAGAAAGAGCGCGCAAACACATTGCGTATGCTTGCGCTCTCGCGCCAACAATATTTTCCGTCTCGTGTTTATCAACTTCGTATAAAATTACGAAGAAGTCGACGAGGTAAAATCGTCGCGCGTCTACAACGCGCCGCTAACGGGCTTTCCGGTCTCTCTCGCGAGCTCAAAAATTCACGGAAGTGGATTACCATTCGTTGCGCTAGCGCGCAGCCATCTCGCATTAATTCGGCACGCAAATCGAATATGAACCAAGGACGTTATATTTAAACGCGAAGACGCGTGCGTTGGCCCGTTCCAAGGTCCACGGAGCGAAGCCAATTAAAGCGTGTGCGACGAAAACCCGGTGATGCAACGTAGTTGCGTGTAGAAGGATGTAAGGTTCAACGACGACTTCGCGCTATCGCGTGATTATCTTCACACATTGCGCGGACATTGCCATTTAATTGCGAGCGCGAAGATTACCCGATCGCGACACGTTCCACGCGCGAGATACGCGCTCGTTTATCGCATCGGCCTCAATTGACCTTATGGGATTAATGTTATTATCTCGTGGACGTGCGTTTCCATTCGAGCCGTTAATTGCTTCAAAGGGGCATGCAGGTTTTCTGTTTGGCTGATGGAAAAGATCATACCGGGTTTATTCAGATTTAGCAGCAGTTTGCCGCGTTTTCGCGAGACCGTGGGGAATCGAGACGGGGGAAGTTATCGACTGGCGTTTCCGGAATAGCGTCTGCGATTGGAATGAACATTTCCTCGTCGAGTCTTGGGTGTCGGTAATAATACAACCATGAACGCTTCGAGTTTAGACTCGATGCGCGTCAAACTAGAGGTATAAGATGAAATACCACATTTTCCTCGATTAATTGCAAGCGCGCGTCAAAGCGAATCTCTGACGTCCGTTTGCAAATAACTGAGGAATGACATTTTATGTATTTTCTGCTTTTATCCTCGGGAGAATTTCAATCTCTGAGACGCTGATTGAGCAAGATATTTAACAATAAAAATTGTGAAGACGTGACAAATGATGATTGCTTCTTCGAAGGATGAACCTCGACGCACGATTCTGAGCGTATCGAGAGCATTCGTCGCTAATATATCTCGGTCGGTGCCTAGCATTATGATGGAACGACGAAGCCAATTCAACGAAACATATGCGGGAACGTGAGAGAGACAAATATTCACGATTGCGATATTAATAAAGTGCATGAGTCAGAGTTAGGGATAACTCTGATAAACGCACGCGCGCAACACGGTCAGTTACCTGTACTTGGGAACGAGTTCTCCGACCGCAAAATGACAGACACCAGAGAAAGATATTTCTAAGCGATTGGACGACGTGAGCTTGTATCGCCCGTCGAATTTCTAAATCTAGGTTATCAGTCAAAGACACCGGTTAAGGTGTCCGAGTTATGCGCGTTAATTTTTTCAATGTTCCGTTAAATATCCCACGAAGCGGCATCTTCGGTCAAATAAATCGTAGTGAAATCGTTATAGAAATCGCGTAGCACTTTCAACAAATTCGATCAAACGATCCTTCCTGTTATTAATGTAAATACATCGCGAGACATTAATCTCCAATTAATTCTCCACATTGACAGCGGGTAAAGATTATGCGCGCGTAATGCGTGCTTCAGCAAAATGTGAATACATTTCTTGGATTTCAGTCGCTTGCGTCGCTGTTGCGATGAATGCCGTGCTAAATGACGCAGACATCGAAGTGTCGTGGGAGAACCTGCTGGAAAGGCCGCCGGAAGATCGCTACGACGTGATCTTCGTCGGCGATCTGTTGTACGACGAGGAAATAGCGAGCGTCCTAATTGGCTGGCTGGAGAACGCGCACGTACGTGGTGCGCGAATTTACCTGGGAGATCCAGGAAGGCACGGCTTAACCGAGGATCTCAGGAGGCGATTGAGATCGCTGCGACGATACTCCTTACCCGCGAACGTTCAGAGAGAGAATCACGGTTACGACACAGCCACCGTGTGGGAATTTGCGGCCGGAACTAAGCGACTGCTGTAGCTCGTACACTTGCGTGCAGCTGCACTTGGCGACGAAGATTACATTATGCGCGGACTCGTCCGAATTTCGAGATTCAAACTGGGTCACTGGGAGCCAGTGACAGCGAGAAACTTAGAATACAGCTTGTTTGCTTGTGTAACTTTAGTGAGACAGATTTGTCTTCACGTCTTTATACAAACAATCGTAATTCGCTCATCTTCCTCCTCGGTATATGGTATATATGTGTACATATATTTTTCGTAGTCATGAAATAAACGTTCGAGTCAGAGAAGTTCAAGTAGCTCGATCTCTCGCAGAGCTCGCGGAGGATTCATCGTCACGTGTTGCACAATATTTGTGCCAATAGCATGTTTGTGTGAGCGCAACGCGCGCTCATTAGCGTATTGACGTAGTATCGCACGAAAATCATTACGGCGATTGTAATTGGCCGTGTGACTGTGTGCGGACGCAACAGCAGTGGCTGTCGAAGCTCACCGGAATACCGGTTACGGTTTTACGCACGACGCGCGTGATTACGTTAAACCACGGACGTTATTTCGCGCGGGGAAGTCTTAAATAATACTGTTCCCGGCAAAGTGCATTTCGAGGTATGTACGCGTCGCGCGTCATTTTAATAGCAGGTAATCCTATATTCGTTACATAAAATCGATTGCCTGGTCTGGCGAAAAAATTTTGCGCAAAATGCAGCCGCGCTGAAGCGCCGTGCGCTCATGCACTTGCAATATCGCAAATATTTACCGAGCGTGTCGTCCCGTCGCGCAAAGTGTGCGTCACTCTGATAAACGATCGCTGTTAGACGCAATTCGTATTTTCTCATCTCACAATATCCGCGTGAATTTTGTCAGACTGATCTCTCGTGCTGTCCACTTACCTGTTTACTGACGAACGACTCCAGGCTGCCGTGCTGCGATATCAGGCCGGTGCGGAGAGACGTGACGTTCGACAACTTGATTCTGCACTCGTACCGCGATCTGTCTACAAGCACAAAATTTATACGTTGAACAACGAAATCGGGAAAAAGTCAGACTCTGAGATATACGATCAAAATGACAATGTGTAAAAAAGTAAGAGCTCGGTTTGGCTTATAGTAGATAACTGCTTCTCATTGACACAGTTTAAATGTCGTTGTTTTGATTTATACATTGTGCAGCATTTTCCTGTTGAAAACACAAGAAATACGTTCTTGCTGAACTAAAACAACGAGTCACCGATAGTTTTTTTTTGACTTAGCGGAACGGTACATGCGGTAGATGTGTATGTTTCTGAATTATTGGCAAAAAACCATTTATTGCCTAACGTATTGCAACTATATGTCAAACATATGAGACAGCCGTGAAGACTTACTGTTGTATATCTTTGTACCGTCTTTACAGGTGCACGGCTGCTGCTGTTGTTGCTCGTCAAAAGGACATTGCAGTATGCAGTTCTCCGAAGCGCATTCTGTGAACATGCATAATTAATCGTAGTTAAGTCTGCGGCCTTGTGCAATTCCAAAGAATTCCGTGTATCAACAGGATCGTACTTTAGCCGGCCGTATCGCGGAGATAAGCGAGCATAAAGAATGCGACGCACAATAAAGTGCTACCCAAATAAAAACAAGATCGTCTAATCGAGATAAAGCGTTACCGGTGTCCAAAATGTCCAGAAGGCGAGTTTCGCAATTGTGGCCGACGTAGCCGTCCAGACAATCGCAGCGCATTGCCTCCGCTCCAATTTGTCTGAAACCAACAACAAGATAACAGTTGGTTGTTAATTCCACGAACCGCTTCTGTCATCAATTACGAATTACTCGCAAATTAGAAATAAAGTTCTACCTAAGAGAAAATTCGAGTAAAAATAATTTGTGACACTCCAGTTATTGCAAACAAATCCAAAATTAACGATATCAGCGGAAAACCTTTTTAAGCGGAAAAGAAATAGGTGCTCAAAAAGATTGGTATCCACGTATTTGTATCGTGCAAATATCGAGCAAATATTTGAGATTTATTTCGTATAAACAAACGTACGCGTGTTTTATGATTCATTACAATAATTGATCTTTACAAGCTGAATCCGTATTATTTCATACCTGCACATAGCTTCGTTTTGGCAAACCGGACTGTGTTGATCGTTGAAACACAATGGACCCTCGTTACAACTTCTCCCGCTGAAACCGTCGAAACAGTCGCACCAGAAAGACCTGAGCGAGAAGAGAACCGTAAGAATTATGAATATCCCGTGATCCCAGGATTAACGGACAAATTGAAGGGAGCGGAGGATCATTGATGATTCATGAACAGCGAAACCCATATTCCCGCGATGAAACTTCGTAGGCGTTCTATTCCTTAACGTGTTTACTCCCTAAAACGCGTTTCTGAGAGCTTTCGTGAATTGAGATAGTTGGGTAAACAGCAAATTATGGCGAAGCTAAGGTTGACGCCTATTGAACAATCCGAATGCAGATGCTTTTTTATATATCAGTGGGAACAAGGCAAATCTAAATTAAATGGAAGCCAATTTAATTCGTTTAGATTTTTATACTCTATTCAATTAAACAGAACATCGCTTCTGAATAGAGACGCAAATAAAATGGAGTTACGTCAAGTGTTTGCGGTTTACCCCACGAGAAGCGCTCGCTACGATTTTTGCGAAACAACCGTGAAAATTTTGATCATTAAGCTCGGCAACTTTCTCTCAACGTAAGTTCGCTAACATTTCAAATGTATTCACCCGCTCTTAACTCCGCTGAATCTTTGAATTTTTTAATTAACCGAATTAATTCTCCGTTAATGCTAACTTTGCAAGCTGCTGAGAAATCTGCAATAAAGAACTTCTCTTTAACTCTGCCAACGCAGGCGCGCCACGAAAATTCGTTTTACCTTTAACCAATATTATACTTGCAAGGGAATTAACTAATATTAACTTAACGATCACATAAATTCATTCTGCGCGGCGGTAAAAAATGGGCTTTGTTAGTGATTACATAGTTTACTATGTAAACTGAACTATGTGAAATGTCTCATAAAGTATTCCATCATGCGCCATTTATCGGAAAAAAAGAACATTTAAAAAGTTGCCTCGCAAACAGAGATAAAAAATGTATACTTATTTCCTAACCAATTGATTATAGAAACAACATTTTGCGACATATCTGTTCTTACATTAAATATCTAGGGCGATCCTCTAAACTGGTAATATAAACAGCTATTTCTTCATTGTCTTCTTCTTTCATGAGGAATCATTTCCCTCTCAGTTACACTACCAATTATGAGTCATCATTCTATATCGGAGCACCAAATGTGTTCACATGCGAACACAATGTTGAGTGATGCAACTTCGTAGAATGTATGCATATTCTACGGAAGGATTAAGGAGACTCACGTGTAATCCGCGGAGACGAGACAGTTCCCCGCAAAGGAGCAATCGCGCATAGTGCAGGACTCGGGATTCGGCTGTTCCTCTGTCATCTCGTACGTCACGTTAAAGCCGTACACGTCGAGGAGGTCGTTTAACACGCGTACGTGATTGCCCTCGAAGCGGTCGAGCTCAAACTCGATCACCAGGAACGGCCGGAAGGTCCTCAGACGGCGGTACTCGAAGACGTTGCCTTCGGTCACCTCCTTCACCAAGGCCGCGCCGAAATTCATGGTTTCGGATTCGTAGTACGCGTACTCGGTGAAGCGCAGCCCCTTGTAGACGTAGAGCTGCGTCAGGTAGACGACGATAGAGCTGTTGATCGACGGGATGTCGGACACGTCGATCACCCAGCGGCACTTGATCGGCAGCGAAAAGGGCCCGGGGAAATTCGGTGTGTGTATGACACCCCGCGGACCAGCCAGGTGGCCGCCGCAGTATGGGTCGACGGTAGTGGTGACACGCGGCAAACGGGCGCAGGTGAGATACAGAAGCAGAAAGACGCCGGCTACGGTCGACCTCATCTTCGTTCGACGAGTTTTTACAAAGAGAATATCGGCGATGTGGTAACGATAAGAAAGAGCATATAAAAGCGTGTTAATAGTGTAATAAATGTGTAAAAGCGTATAAAAGCGTGTAAAAAATAACAAGATAGCGGGAGGATAATGGAATATTCGATAATTATTATGAGCGAGAAAGGTGGAATGAGGTTTCGAAGGTTGTAAATATGAAAGACCTCGGAATCTCTCTCGTATTTTAGATTTACGGCACAACTGTCTGTCGATGAATGAACGGTAGTAACCCTCGAGACTCTCGGGATAGTCCGGATTTATGACGTCGTTCCTCGATAAACACAGCGATTTAGTTACGATTTATCTCGTTGGACGCACGAAACAATGAGAAGAATCGCCCGTTCTGTCGAGGACGTGTTTGAAAAATCATTTCGTCTCGGCGTTGATCCCGCGTTGTACTTCCTTTACCTTTAACGAATTTGTGCAAGATTTGCGCAAGGGACTTCGAGAGTTTTTTTCTACACATAATTTAACAGATGCTTCCTCACTTAATTCGACATTTTCGTTTCTATATTACTTCTCATTTTTCCGATAAAATCGCAGCTGATAAAAGTGCTGAATGACACTGCAACATTCAACAAATCAGATCTTCTGGACGTCATAAATCAGCAAGAAAGAAATATTGAAGACGTTTGTCTCTCGATACAATAAGTCTTCTGTGACAGTTGTAATTCATTGGCGCGCGGTAAACACACACAACACGCTAACGCACAACATCCAGCTCACCTTGATCGTGGACTCGACGCGTTATCGCGGTAGTATCTCTGGAGTGTGAACGACCGCGCCGAACTGTCTTCGTTCTTCTGCTCACCGTCACCGTTCAATCAGCCACCCTTCTCGTTTCTTCTCGCGTCAACGACGCTCCGGCATGACGACGTCGATATCCCGTCGCGCACAAGCAGCAGCTGGTGACGGGGCCTACTTGCGAACACCACACAGAACACGAATCTCCGAGGGTATCCGGTGCACTTCCATCGACCCCATCGTGCATCATCGAGAGCGAACGCGGGACAGATTCGCGGCAAGACGAAGCAGCGACCGCGCAGTTCGCAGTTCTGTCGTAGAACAACGATGGACGAGGGTGACTGAGCGGATCGGCAGACTGACACCTCGACGCGACCTCGTAGTCGTCAACGAGGCCGTGTATGCATGTACCGATACTGAAAATCGTTCGTCACGTTTATCACGACAGATACACGGAACGCGCGATCCGCCGAGCCGCTGGGCGTCAGCCTCCTGTCGCGCACCAGCAATCTGTCCGCGCGCACCCTCAGTGCACCCCACGCAGACTAAGCCGCGCTCTGTGTACAAACGCTCCAGCGCGGGAGTGTGCTGCGCTGTCAACAAAACGTACCCAGCATCCCTCGTTGTGGCTGTACATATTTCGCGTCTGGAATATTAATCCGAAAAGTTGTCTCGTATCTTCTTTCGTCGTCTAAATCTAAGTCGATGAACTTGAAATCGATACTTTCGTCTCTCGCGGTCTCTGTAAACATGCGGGTGTACTTCGAGTCACCTTCGAGTTTCCTTCTCATTTTATGTTATCGATAATATGTTAGGATCGAAAGGGGAGACGCTTGAGACGAGGGAATCGATGTTCCGATAATACTGGAAAAGGTGATGGAATTAACTTGGAAATGGTACCTTGAAGATCTCTCAATCCGCAAATTTGGATAGGTATTCTTGGGATCAACAGGCATACAATGTACACTAATCCGTACTAAAGTCGGAGGAATCTCGTCTCGGGAGTCTGAAGTTGCAGATTGTAAGTGCACTATGCAGGATGGTATTCAGAAAAGGTGAAGTGTCCGTTTCGTAATCGGGGATGTTGACATTATCCACGTTGTTACACCGTGATCTACGTAATCTATATTGAGTGATAGCACGCTAACCGGTACAATAACTAGTTGATACTGGAAAAGAAATTACGTGTTAATGATTCATAGATATTCGTAGACGAGACTCGGCGTATATCAGCGACGATCGAGTGCTGTTTCAAGTTGCAGAACAACTCGAGATAGGATTTCGTTTTGAAAACATCGGCGCTCTTGGCACAGCACTCCTTCGCGCGGATTATGTAATGATCTTGGGAAGCTCGTGTAGTGACTAGGGAAGAAACGGCCAGTTGTCCTCTGCGTAATAAAAAGTTATATATTTGTTTAAATAAGAGAATAAGATATTTGTCGTTTATCTTAGAATTTCCGGTTGTAGTTTATATACAATTTCACTGAGAAAGGCAAAGGTAACTGTTGTATTTTATCTGTCATGTAGCCGGTGAACGCGTTGCTATCTACATAGTGGCCGATGACTTCCTTGTCGTTGGAGGTAGAGTCTTTCGACAAAGAGCCGTACATGTTTCTACATGGTTTGTTGATCGATATAGGAGGCAGATCTATGTCCATCGTGTCGGTAGCGTCAGAGTCGTCGTGATTAGCGTTCGTGCTAAAAGACTGGCTGGAGGATTGACTAGTGGATGACTGACTGGAGGGCTGACTTTCTTCGTTGCTAAGATTTGCGTCCTCCACTATACCACTGTCCGTTTTCTTGCGTTTCCAAATTTTATGGCGTCGCACGAAGGCTATATCTTCAGCTCTCTCTCTCTCTTGTTCGCTCTCGCTCTCGCTTATGCTGGAATACGTCGCAGCAGTCGACGGTACTTCTCTCTCGTGTCGCGTCTCGTTGATGTTATTAGATACATCGGCGAGCTCGGTGGAACTGCGAGTTGTGGTGCCTTCGCTTGTACCGAAGCAGAAATTCTTCTTGGCGGATTTCCGTTTTTGTTCGTGTTGATTATCGTCAACGCTCGTACTACCCGCCATCTCTCGAGCGTCCTCTCGATTATTCTCATGACTATCCTCCCGAGTCGCTTCTCTAGCATTTCGGGTATCTTCGTTGATAGTCCTTGCATCTTCTCGCTGGTTTTCTCGCTGAGCGTCAATCGGATTCGGTTGTATAACAGCGCGTACCAATTGCAAAGTCGTTGTGATAGCCTCACCTGTATCAGCATCTACGTTCAGCAGGAAGCGCGCTCGACGCTCGGACAACGCGCTTGGATAGTCCTGCTCTTCGACTTCGTCCAAGACCTCGTCCAATACTCCGTCAGCTTCTTCGAAAATAGGTATGACGAAACGTCTGAGAGTGTGCTGTTGCGGACTTGGTTTCCGTTGTCCTGGTATTATCGGCTTCTCGGTCTCGAGATCGGCATGTTCGTTCCAGATATTTTCGCGCAGACGATATCGAATCTTACCGCGGCAGAGTTCTTGCAAAGACAAAGGATTGCATTCCGCTGCAACATAGAATTTAATGAAACTCGTTAGAAATTTCACCGTGAGCATGTAAAATATAGATTTAAAACTGCAGCAAAGATCTGATATACTAATTTACAATGAAATCTGAGAATAAAATTAATCTTTTTTTCTTCTCATTATGAAAGAAAGATATCGGTAATTGGAAAGTATTAAAAGTTGAAGACGTAAAGCAAAAGGTAAATTAGATTCTTTAAAGGTTACGTACGCAGCTGAAGTAAGTTATATTCCGACACCAAAGGTACAATTAGATTAGCAAATGAAACGGGAAGCATTGTATAATGCATCCAAGTATTCTTGTTCACTCTTTCTACACGGACCAAATTATCTCTGTATGGCATTACTAGTATACCACCAACACGAACAAATTGCTTAATAAACGCTTCATGACTTTCAGGGCATGCTGCTCCACAATATACCCTGTCGTATTGTCTACCAGGTATAATGCTGAGACAGTTTCCTGTTGAATTTGAAATCATACGTCAAGTTAAATAAATTCAAAATCTTAGTAACAATCGAAGTTTACAATTATCACAATTTATTGTTTTGAAAATTATTCGTTTTACCTTGTATGAATAACGGCTCACAAAAATCAAACTCATTCAACGCCAGTGACTTCTGTTTAAATTCTTCCAGCCTGTCGTATGCATATTTTAGACAATCTTCATGTAATTCGATACCATGATTCGTTCCGTGTTGTTCTGAAGAAAATAGGAGAAGATATTGTACATGTCATAACATGTTTGTTCATCAAAAGAATATCTGTCTTACTCAACAACAGTCCTGCCATTGTACTAAGATAGCCAGTCCCAGATCCAAGATTCAGAAAGCTCAAACCAGGTTCTAAACTGAGACCTTCCATTACTTCGCTGTATACACATGGAGCTGACAAATGTATATTTCCATGTTTCCAAGCTAAATCTTTGTAAGCACTATCTTTATGAGAGGATAAAACATAATCAGCTCTGTCCACAGCTCTGAAAACTTGTTCCACTTTCTTCGTTTTGATGTAACCAGATTCTATTAAATTATCCACTAATTCATCATTGTCTTGTCCACTACTTACTGCTCCTCCCATGTTTGCAGAAGTATTGAGTATTCTGTAATATTATTAATACATATGCTAATTTGTTATCAAACTATCATATAAATGCATATAAATGCAAATATCATATAAATTTAAAGAAGATAATAGATAATTTCACTTTTCTGGATAAATATGTTTGTCCGAACTGAATAAATATAAAAAGGATGATAAGAAACATACTGATAAAAATGTAATAAGGAATAATTATATTTATGTTAGCATATCATATATCTTCAGGGAATTGCTTTTGTATAAAATAGTAATTATCAATAATTTTATTTAGGAAATAATTAAAATCAATATTAAGATATAGTTGATAACATTAAACATTCTCTACCTATTTATATAACAATAAGTGCTATTTTATTAGTTCACTGCAGCAAATGATTTTTAAAATACCAATAGAAATACAATATGGAGGTCCCAGATGAAATGGAGTCTCAGCTTTAAAAATAAAATCATGTTGGGTCAAAGTGTAACTATCAATAATATGGAGGAGTCGCGGCGAGATGATTAACCACGTCGTCGTTGATTCGTTTTAACATTCTCGCGATCATTAATTCGATTATCAGCAACGAGAAACCGATGATGCAACGGATGATATAGCAGAGGCTTTTTATTTGTAACAAGACACACATACATACAAGAAGCAGACAACGTACTCCGATATACGACTAAAGAAATTTGCATTTTCAACTCACATGTATATTTATCTATGATGATAATGCTGTATTTCGTCGCACACTCTTTGTCTCTCTCTCTCTCTCTCTTTCTCTCCCTTTCTCTTTCTCTTCTCTCTCTCTCTCTCTCTTTCTCTCTCTCTCTCTCTCTCTGTCTGTTTAACTATCTGCAACAACGAAATGTACGAAACGCGAATGCAATTCGGTTTGAAGCACACAATCACGAATCACGAGCACACGATCCGCAGATGTCAGATCAAAAAATAATTTAACAACGACAGCTGATAATATGGAGTCAACGAATCTTCGTCGTCAGAGTGGGAGACAGATTTACCTTTTCGATTAGCTAATGACAGTGACGAACGTTGTCGCGTAACGATGTCCACTATGTCGCTGCACTGCGTACTGCCATAACACACTGAGACATGGACTTCGTCGCGACAGCAGTCGTGTTTTGATAACGCGAAAGGTACATCAAGTCCATCAGCTGATGTTGCAAAACAAGCGGTACACCGCCACCTAATGCTACGCCATTGCCTGAATTGCGCTATTCTCACGGAGCTCTGTGGGCGCGTTTAGCGGTGAAGAGCCATTAATATTATTAAAATATAACAGAATGAACTTCCAATGTCGCAAAATTATATATTGCGTCAATCTGAATGATCGAGTCGTCACGAATAAACGTACGGGACATTTCCGCATGTCATGGGCAAAGAAATTTAGACTCACCGAAACTTGTAAAAATTTAACTTCTTGTTAACAGAAACGCAACGTTTATGATATTATTCTTCGAAACAAAGACCCAGATAAATTATTGTTTTCACGTATATATATATATATATATATGGCAATGCGATAAGCGATATGATGATCAATTAATTTCTCACAACTCCAGTAAATAGACTGAATACTTGACGTACGTTTGTTACACCCAAGAACCACTGCCTTCTTCAAGGTAATTGTATGGTCGCTCTGTTATTCGCTTCTTTCTTTAATCCTTCGAACGGGAAGACGCGGCAGCTTGTTTGAACTAAACGAGCGTCGCCATAATGGCTAACTTTATTTTTAACCGTATTTTGTAACCGATCTCACGTAGGACAATAAAAGGCAACTTCCTCTTTCTTGTTGATAATTCTCCAGAAAGAAGCAAAATCGTTTGAAAAAGGGCAAAATTCTCACCTTTGGAAAATGGGAATTATATTCGCGTCAGACGTATCGACACATAAATCTGCAGTTTTGTCTCGAAATTCTGTTATCTCCAATCATCATAGACCCTCTAAAATGACCCTATATAATAGTTTTGCTCTTCTTTAGCTGTACTTTCCACACTATCATGCACATTTTTCTCTTCTACTTCGACCAACATTCTTGTGGCGCGATCGGCCGTTCGTGCTGAAACGTTCTCGCTTGATAGGCCGACTGGACGGATTATAAAAGAAACTTTCGTCTTGTATAGAAAAAAACCAGACCAGGACCGAACATTTTGCCGGTGAGTAAACTATTAAACTACAAATTAGAAATGGTAGTGTCTAACACATGGTTAGCGTCCACGGACTGCAATCCACGGTTTCCGTGGATGTTCCATAGGTTACGTTGTTCAAAGTGAGACAATCGCATTTGCATTGTATATGCATATATATAGAGAGAGGGAGAGATCAATTACTTCGAGCATTCGCGTATCTCGTACGGGAAAGGTATAATATAGTGCAGTTAAAAATGAACAGACTTTGCAACGAGAAACGTATCTATGCAATACGCCTATGTCTCAAGAAATGCTACTGCGCACCGGTACCGCGCATTCAGCACTTTCTGCACATTTTTACACAGAAACGAAACAGACCTATACTCAGAGCCTGCGGAGTGAAAGAGACAGGTGGAAGCGAGTACAGGTGATATAAACGTGAAGTCAGTCTTTCTCTCGTCCATAATGGTGGCGACTGGTAACTTTGAAAGCAGAGTTGTGCGTTCGCGATATTTTATCAGTATATAAAGTAACATCGGCGCGTAAAGTAATAGCTCGTGTTCACCTGGTGTTACCAATCGTCAGGTGTACATCTTACGGCAGGCGGCGGTCACCGATTGCCGGAGGAGGTTGCCGAAAACCTCACTTGGTGTACGTTGCACGGACGCTCGACTGTTTTCTTTTAGTAAGTATAATAGTATACAACACGACCATGTGCAGCTCGCGATTATTGCAATTTCACGCGATACGCTGGAAAATTGATTTGTATCTGTAACAAATACGAACATCTTGACGATAGCTTTCACGACGTAGTCGTAGAAGATATTCCAAATATGCGGACATGTGAGTTTAATTCTAGCTGATTCACAATAGACATCGAAGCTTTCGGCTCTTTGTTCCAAGCCCCAAATTGTGATTTAATTTGCGAGTAAGAGTGTTTCCCGCTGTCACCTGAAGTCGCAATCTTTAAACTTTAAGTGAATTCGTCAGATTCAAGTCCTTTTAAGGCAGCATAGAAAATATTTTTTGCTAATTAAATTAAAAAGTGCAGCGAACGACTGAAAGGTTACTGTACCTGTGTGGTGTATGGATCGAACTTTACAAACCGGCACGATGCGCGAGTCGTGATTTAATTTACGTTTTTCTATTTTTATTCGACTAAATTCACCTTACTAAATTGCACTCACAGATTTGTGTGTTTTAGTTTGATTCACTCGCGCACACGTTTCACGTACATTTTGCGAATTTTTTTCGGACCTTTAGATGCATATACAAGCAAAAGAGGTTCTTCGACGCTCGACTACTTTCACATTATACTTTAAGTTATTTTAAAGGTACGCATTGTATCCTCCATCGTTTTTTTTGTATTATATAAATATTATCTCCTCAAATACGAGATAACACAAAAGAAGCATGAAACGCGACGCGAGGGAAATAGACTCGAGAAGATATATCAACGATGAAGCGACGCGTACGTGTAAATCGTTTCTTGATTTTTTCATTCGTCATAGTAGCTTTGCTTGTTGTCGATGAAAAAAATTTAATGCTCGAAGCTGCGCGAGTCGGCGATCGAATCAGCTACCGTTGATCGTCTTAATCGATTCCTTACACATCATGATGCCACATGCGCAGTGTTGTTTCTTGGCTCGCATGGAATATCGATATTTTCTGGCAAGAGAGTACTCCTCACATTTGTAAAATAATATACACATTAGCCCGGAGCTCGGAGCACGCAGCTCGGAGAGGTTAGGCTGCGGCTAAAAACGTTAAATAGAACGCGTTGCAATTTCCTCGCGTTGCGTCCGTTCCATGTCAAGAAATTTGTCAACGAGAGATAACGTACGATACAATATGTTGACAATTTACCAGTACGCATCGTTCGCCCTGCAACGTGCTTCGCCGCGAAACGCGTCTCAATTCCTCTGAATATCGAACGGGGCTGTTCGCACGAAGCAACATGTATCTGCCGCGCTAATTAATTCTTCGCGCGAAAACGGATTCTGCGGGATTGATCCATGGAATCCAAAGCTGCCTTTTGCATTCGGGGCACTGAGCTAAAAATAAAGAATTAAAAACCAAGAAATAAAGACATGATTTTGTAGCGATGGATGGAACAAAGCAGCAGTAACTCAAAGTGGAAGAAGTGCGCGTTCGTTAATTGTGCAAATATTTCTCACTAACGGCAGATTGACATCCGTTGCGAGATATAAATTGCGAGCGTCTTGTCTCTGCCATGTTTGTTTTTTCGGACTGATGTATAGCCAAGATGGCTCTTAAAGCATCCTCCTTTCTCTTCCTTGGACGCCATTTTATTTTCATTACTGTTATTCAATTATGGAGCTAAGTAACAAAAATGTCTAGCAAATATATAGGAAAGTTCTGTGAAAAGACGTCATTTCTGCCAGGTACCTTAAGTATCTTTCAAGCGGACGATCATTTATCTTTTTCTATATAAATTTGTGAATAATGAAACGTTCTTATACATTCAGGTATACATTCAAGATCCTTATACATTCAGTCCTTATACGCAGGTAAAAATAATTTTCACTTTTTGCAAGTTCGCGTTAAAAGATTTGTGACTGATTTTAAGGTCTACCCTAACAGCACAGATGTCCAAAGGACGTCCAGAGTCTTAACGACGTCCTGGAAACGTTTCTTTACCCTCAGGACGTCCATAGGACGATTACGTGTCCACAGGAGATTATGTGCTGACTGGGTATTTAAGGTATATTATATGCATTGTATATGCACACGATAAAGTCCGAACTTTTCTCACGAGGAAACTCATGTGACAAATGATTTTTTCACAAATAATGCTTTTCAGACCTAATTCATTTCGTATTCATTTTAAATAATTAATTGGGACAAAGGAAAACAGAAAGAGAGAGTATGAAGAATGCGTGAGCCTTAAAAACTGCGTTTTGATATCCATTCTCAGTGCTGAAAATTTATTGTTCATGTCTCATACATTATATAATATTTTAAAATTTCCATATTGGTAGTGGAATATCGGAACACATCCATAATCGGCAGATTGACAATGGTGTAAAAAAAGAATCAGGGAAGGAATTTGACCTGTTCTATTATGTGGTACGATGTCGACATTGCCATCTAACGGGAGGAAACGGCGTCACCAACTAATCCCGACATGATTCTTTGTGTTATCGACATAAATATCTGAATGTTTTAGGTTATAATGCAGCGTTAATTTTCTAATTTGCAATTTAAGTTTGCCATTTGCCATCCGTCCGTAAGGGAGTATGTATACGCGTTTACGATGCAACATATCGATGCGTATTTTTACGAAAATATAGCGCTTTCGTCATCGGAAAACGGTCAGTGCAGCGTCAATATGTTTTGCATCACGGGCGTAAACTCACATCCACATGCCTTCAGCATCACGAGCAACTCGTAACGATTTCTCGCCACGTACCTGCATTAGTGCGTGTATTCTTTTACACGAAGCTGAGAAATATTTTCCGGATTATATCGATGTATTATTTAGTCGACCAATCAACACTGACGCGCCTGCGCATGCTCCTCTCTCTCTCTCTCTCTCTCTCTCTCTCTCTCTCTTTCTCCCTCTGTCTTTCTTCGTCATTTGGGTCGTCACATATTTGAGAATTAACACTGAACTTGTCGATGTACACCATAATTGTATATTCTTATCGCGAAGACAATGAAGAGCAACAATACACTCGCGTTATTACACGTTGAAACGTACTTTCGGCTCGTAGACGGAGTTAGAGTTAGTGAATGCTGTGGGCGTAAAATCTGGCTGAGCATTCAGCAACGCGCTTAAATCGCGTCACGATTCGCGCCAAAAAGCACAAGCATGTCTCTCAGCGTGTATCGATCGTGTTCACGTCGTCGCGTTTACGAGCGCTTGCAAATGGATTCGAAAGTAACAAACTGTCGCGACTCCGTAGCTGCCGAGTCGCCCGAAATGCAGGAAATCACGTCGAATCGTTGTTATTGTAAAATACTTGTCGCTCAGAATCGTAACAAGCGCGGTAGGCGCCCCTGGCTAGTCAGTCAATTTGTAACTTTTAATATTCCGTGATACGCATTGCCTGCAACTGCATATTCTTTATTAGCAATATTCGCCGGTAAATCAAATTATCGGAGAGCACCACTCGAGATAACTATACATTCAGGTATTCAGTTGACGCGGCTCAACATGTCTCTCGAATTACAAAAGTATACGCGATAAAACGTAAATATGCCATTGTTGTATAATTCTATATTCGACATTTCTTAATATTTGAGGTGTGCGAATGCAACTGACGTGAAAGCGATAACGGCGGACTGAATTGACAGCGACCTACTCGAGAATGGTTGGCCAGCGGGATGCATCTGTTTTCTACCTTTTTTCCATCTTTTTTTTTTCCATTTAGTGATTTTATACCGGACGATACTCGGAGCTGTGCGGCGCTGCGACACGTTTATTCAGTCGTCGCCATGTTTTTTAGCGAACCGAAAATATATTCGACTCCTATTGAGCGAAATGTGTTGAAATATACTGTCGACCGACGACGACGGTCGACCACGTACCAACGTAAGAACGTATCTCGCGAAATAATCGGTCTCTTCAAAGTTCATGTCCAATTGCACACGATGCACTTGGGTTTTCGTCAAATCAATGTTCTCGAGTATGTTTTGCGCCCTCTTTGTAGGCTGCGGCCCTGAGAGCCGCCCAGTTTGTCAGTTTCTTGCTACGGCTCTGTTCTTGTTAACTAAAGTTACCAACAACTAAAGTTGTAACGTATCATCTCTGATCGTAGTTTTCTCCGAAAGGAAGGAAACGAGAGAGACGTGAGAGGTGTAAAGAGATCTGGTCAGGAGGAATCAGACTCAACAGTGTGGAAGAGATCTCTCGACTTGTAATTTCCCGGTCAATTCGCTCGTCTGTGCGTAATTACGGTAATATGCACACACCGCGCACGCCATTGCCGGGCGTACATTGTCGTTGCGAATAAACGTAAGATTTGTTTCTTTCAGCTGTCCCTCACATATCCGTAAAGCATGCTCGCTTTCTTTCTCGTAGTAAGACACCGAGGATATACCCGTTTCGTTTCAAGGGCAGATAGTGTAAGCGAAAGGTGTAGCTGAAAGGTGCTAGAGAAAGGCAAAGGTAACAAAATAACAAGGGAACAAATTTGCACGGTCTTGACGTCGAGTCTGAAATTGCATCGAGATCGATCGGTCTCCTGATCAATCGAAACTCGATGTTCGCGTGATGGCCGGATCGAGATCACGCCTCGATCGATCGACGCCAACGGCTCCTGGTGCGTGTGCAGACGCAGAGGCGTCGTGTAGAGTGCCGTTGGCGTTTGCAAAATGTAGTTGACGCCAGTCGTGGTGCTACTTTTTTTCACGAAGCGACGTTTGCGCGGGAGGTGGATCCGAAATCGGGCCCTGGGACAGATGTCCGCGTGGTTTTCTCGAACGGCGAGGCACAGAACGCGAAGCACGACGTTCCGCGCCGCGCGAGCGGCGATCGCGCAACGGCGATTCGGCGGCGGCGGCGGCGGCAGCGGCGGCGGATACGTGAGCAACGAGGGAGTTTTGCTCCTCTTGAAAAATCTCTCGCGACGACGCGTAACGTTAGGTACGAACGGAATTAGGTATGTAGAGACGCTCGCGCGCGGCCTGATTGGCTAGCCGGGCTGCATCCGTCCACTGTACGGCGCGCAGCAGCCAATGGCCAGCGAGTTGCTGCGCCGTCGCCACTGCGTTTTTGGCCTATGGGGTCGTAGCTGTTGCCGTACGCGGAGTCTAGGCTCGAATGCTTAAAAGATAGGTGAAGATTTTTGTTAAAGGCGTCCGGGTTGCGCGGTGCCTGCATTCGCGTTTGCTGGATGGTAAATTCACCGGCGAGGACGGTGGCTGACGCGGGCGATAAGGATCACGCGGTAGAACGGATCGCGCGGGCGTTATTCCGGTGAAAAGTGTCGTGTGTGTATACACGTACGTTGCCTCCTTCGTCTCTGTGAGTAGTGCTCCTCGCGTGCGATGTACGACGGACGATTCGCAAAAGTAATTGAACGACGGTCCGCCGGTCATGGTGGCCGCTGCCTACGGCACGTAGCTACGCGCTCGTTACGCGTAGAACACGCGTAACGTGCGATCCCAGGGTGCACGGTAGACTTTTAAAGCGTTGAAAAGTGTTGAACATGATTGCTGTGCCTCGGCGAGAATAAGTTCGGCGCGCCATTCAAATCGCTCTTTCGGACTGTTCACGACGAGTGCGTCGAGCGTTCCAGTGCGCGAAATTCTCACGAGAAACTTGTTACCGCGAGTGGCTCGTGTCCTTTATGAAGTGAGAATTTCAATTCCGCGCAAATTATGTAACTTTTAGGGACGAGATTTACCGAGAAAAGCAAGCAGTATGTCTACTAGGTTCGTTCTGTACTATACGTGCATACTTCGTTTTTAATTAATGGATCATGTATTAGACTACGTTACGAAAATGGAGTATATTACGTTTCGATTTATTTTACGATAAGATAAATATCCGTCCAAATTCATGTGTTTCACACGCAATTCTCTGTTTCATAAAAGAAAGGGAACATTTTCCGTAAAATTCCCTGATTTTTTTTATTTGGTGAGGTGGAATTAATGGGACAGAATTTATCATTAATTTATTATTTATTATTTATGAATTATCGATTTGGAGAAGATAACTATTTTAAATCATTTTGCTTTTGGATGTTCTGTTTGAATTATAAGTCTCTGAGGATATCTTTTTCTTGCCATAGCGAAGGCTGTGGTTATTTGAAATAATAAATAACTGATCCATTTGTTAACAGAATGGATGAAGAAATAGTAGTAGATGATGTAGATGAAAATAGTAGTGCTGAAACGCAGCAGATGGATGACTCAACAACACCCGTAGTGCCTCTGCTATATATTCAGCAAAGCAAAGTGCGTTCCAGCCAAACGACAAATGCAAATCAAACTCTTGTTACACCTAGTACTCAACTCGCTGCTATTATTAATCCGGTAAACAACCAGGTAACTTTTAAAAGCCTTCACTCACATCATATGCACATTTCTTTTTTTTTTTGTTTTTTTTACATCTTGTGCAATATTATGCGATATTGTAGGCTTTTTGTTACTTATGTTGTCTGCAGAGGTTGAAAATTGTTCCAAGTAGATTATTACTATCAACATTTGTTATTATACACATATTTGTTAATTCTATCTCTTATGTAAGCACTTGTACATTATTCAAAAGAACAAAGAATATATTAGAACATTCATAATAACCTCAAATTGAATGTATGCTTCTTAGTGAATTATATTATATTGCTCATATATATGCTTCTGGAGTAAAAAATGACAGCAATAAGTATAGTTCATGTTCAGTATACATATATGTAGTTCTTGATGGAGCCTTATTAGATTCCATGTGTAGGTGGCAGTGAGTGGTGCATCTCCTCATAGTAAATATAGATTTGGTCAACAGACATTACATACAGTGAGACTTGAGTAGAGATATGTAGAAATTAGATTAGTTTTCTTGCGAAAAGTATAAATTTGATTAGTTGAAACCATTGGATTTTAATATTCTGTGATGTTTGATAGACTAGGGATTAGTCTTTAGTATACTAGGTACATTGACACAGAGATTACATTGGTACAGAGATGCATATCTACACACACATACACGCACACATCCACACCCACACCTACATCCTCACACACACACACACATATATATATTTACAAAGTATACTCTAGTTAACTTAGTGATTCTTGCAGTTAATATAAAAATCATCCTTGAGTTGACATATTTATCAATTTTAAACTTTCTGAATTAAAAATATGTTGAAATAAAATGTTTTAAAGAAGATGGAGATTTATTCTTCTATTATTAGACTAATCTTTCAAACAGAACAAATATATTTTTATTTCAGATTGTCACCGGGCAAAATAAGGTGTTTATACAAGGTTCAGGTCAGGTTACAACATCTCAAAGTAAGCAACATATTGTAATTCATCGTCCCATGAATAGTGTGAGCTCCACAACAACACCACAAGCTCAAAAGCACATATTACTTAGAAAATCAACGACATCTACTGCACAGATTGTGCCTCTAAATACAAATCAAGGGAGCCAATCCAATGCACAGACAGGAAAACACACTTTTGCATATTTGGGAACTCTCATTAAACCTAACAAATCACGGGAATCTGTTGTTATACCTGCAGGTAATAAAAAAAAATTTTTTTCATTTTATAAATTTCAAAACCAGCTGAGTGGATGGCTGTGCAATTTTATAATTTATATAATATATAAGGAAAGAATGTCACAAATTATATATTAATGTATGTTACATAATCTGATAATACTAAAATAAAAATTATTTAAAAATGCATTTTTGAGCATTTAGTTACAAACATTTTTTTTTTATTTTGTAAAAAGATATATACAATTTTGATGTATTTTTTCATTTATTTTAATTTAATTAAAAACATTTTTGCATTTTTATCTTTAAAACAATTTTATTCAAATTGATAAAGAAAGTTGGAGAAAACATGAAGACACAAATAATTTCTTCGTGAAAAGTTACAATTTTCTTGTAACAAAATATTTTCTGCAATATGTGAATTAGTTATTTATTTATTTATTTGGTCTTAAATTTAAACAGGGGCCCTAACAACGACTCAAATTACTAAGCCAAAATTAGTAATTGCTCCAGTAATATCTCAGCTATCTCAAACATCAACGAGTACCACAAGTGGTTCTCAGAGTCAGTCTTCTAAACATATGGCAAACTTATTATTACCAGTGACCATTCCTCAGCAAAGTGGTTCCACAAAACCTAGCATGTTTAATTTGAAAATTAATACTGCCACTGGTCCATTTAATTCGGAAAACAAGGGAACTATAACAGGTATGAAAATGAACTTGAGAAGCAATAGGCATTAATAAGTACCAACTTTTTAAAAATATGAAGTACCAAAAATAATATAATTTTTAACATTTTTTGTATTCTAGTGTTACGTGAATCGAAAACATCAAATTCAACTTCGTTGCCACCACCATTGCATCCTATAGCGAAAATGAGTTTACTGAATGCAAATAAGGGCAGCTCTAATTCCATAGATAGTATTAAAATTACCGAAAATCCAGATTCAGCTGTTATTACACCAATTCCGAAAAAGGAAGACAATAATCTGCCAGAGAAGCGAAAAAAGACAATTAGCAATATATTACGGGGTTCTAGCGAAAAACGAATGAAGAAACAAAGTCTCCCAAAGTCTCCTCAAGACAGTTTGGTGGATGTTAATTACGCGCTAAGTAGTCCGGAATCCGAAGATAAAGATAAGAAAGTTCAAAACGATGACGACATTACATTGATCAAAGTTGTTCCTGGTGAGGACAAAGTCTCGAAACTCAACACAAATATGGATGACGATGTGAAAATTGAAATTATTAAAACACCAACGAGTTGTAGCGGTTGTAGCATTGAAACAGTGGCGGACAATAAAAACGAAGCGAAGTGTAATAATTATGATGAAACGAAGGAACACTTAAATACTCTGCATCAGAACGATTCAATGAATTTCGATGCTACCAAAGCTTTAGACTGGAAAGACGGGGTTGGTACTTTACCAGGAAGTAATTTACAGGTGAACAAATAGTGATAGCAATAGAAAGTGTAACTTATTGTATCTAAAGAAGAAGAATTGAAAACTTGCTACACATTATAATTATAAAGAAAGAAAGAATATCACATTCCTGTAACATTACTTAAATTTTTTACATGTACAAAAATATAATATAGGTGTATGAATAATTTATTTATTGTTTATTTAGTTTCGTATGAATGAGTTTGGCTTTATGGAAGTACTAGATGAAGACGAAAGCAGTAAACAGAATAAGGATGGTATTGGTGACAAAGAAAACGTATGCTTGACGCAAAATTCTTCAAAGTCTGGTCCTGGCACGATTAACAATGCTAGCGTGGAGAAGAAACGTAAATTACAAAACATATGTTACGGTAATATATAAATATGTATATTTATGTGTTACTATAATAAAACCTACCTGTACTTTTAGCTGATGATAAAAAATCTAGATCGGTATCTGCGGATACGATGTATCACTGCGAAGGTTGCGGATGTTATGGATTAGCTGCTGAGTTTGAGAGTCCAATATCGTGCGGTCCTTCTTGTACAGAACTGATAGAGTCTAAAAAACAACCTGCAGGTCGAAAGGATAAAGATCTGAAGTACGTATTATGCATGTAGTTCTATATTGCTGATGGTATATTTCTACATTGGAAAAAAATGACCAATTTATAAATATTACAAGATATAAAGATTCACTAAGTTTAATCATAAATTCTGCTCTTTAAAGTATTATTTGATCAATATAGTTAGAATAGTCATATTATATTGGGATATTTACGAATTGTAAGGTTTTGATAACTATAATAACTATAATAACTATAATAATAAAAAGACAATAAATAAACACTGACCCTTTCCCTCTCAAAATACAAATTTGATTTTTAATTAAAAAATTCGTAAGAGATTTATTTTTATGAAAAATATTTACATAGGGACCTACGTGCAAAGAAGAAACGCAAGAGATTATTACAAGAACAGCAATGGAAAGACATAGAGGAAAAGTCTGATGAAAAGATGCATGACAAGGTCGAGACAGATGAGGAGAATACAATGGCAGGAATGGATGACGAGAGCCAAGGAGGAGATTCGTCTGAGTCTAAGGTAGGAATTGCCTGCAGATAAAATAAAGAATTTAATTATTTAATAACGCCCATTAAGTTACTGAAGTGAAATATAATAATCAACTTTGATTTATATTTTTACATTGTTACATGTAGTATCCTTGGCTAAAAGGGAAGCTTGGTTTCTCATGGCCAAAGTATCTTGATCATTGTAAGGCGAAAGCAGCGCCAGTTAAGTTATTCAACAAGGATCCTTTCCCGTACACTAAAAATCAATTCAGAGTAGGAATGAAATTGGAAGGAATAGATCCGGAACATCCCTCACGATACTGTGTTCTGACGATTGTCGAAGTTGTAGGTAAGTTATCGAACCTACTAATAGACATATATACGTATTTGTACGCATGATATTAATTGTTAATTTTACATTATTATTTATATTACAATGTTATATACTTCATGTTACTTATTATTAATATACTAGGTTACCGTATGCGCTTGCACTTCGATGGTTATCCAGAGAACTACGATTATTGGGTAAATGCCGATAGTATGGACATATTTCCTGCTGGATGGTCCGAGAAGAACGGCCATCGATTGGACCCGCCAAAGGGTTACGTACCTAGCAACTTCAACTGGAACGCCTATCTAAAAGTCTGCAAGGCGACCGCAGCGGCGAAGAACATATTTCCGAATAAAAGTGCGTTGCAGGCTGTCTTCACCACGGGTTTCCGAGTAGGCATGAAACTAGAGGCGGTAGACAGAAAGCATTCGTCGTTAGTTTGCGTTGCTAGCATAGCTGGTTTAATGGATTCCCGGATATTGGTACACTTCGATTCTTGGGACGAAGTGTACGATTACTGGGCTGATGCAAGCTCGCCTTACATTCATCCCGTAGGATGGTGTCATCACAACGGTCATAGTCTGACTCCACCAAATAGTAAGAATCTGAAATTAATTAACTATATATACACAATTCACATTTTTATTCCTTCATGCTTATAAATACGCGATGTGTGCAATTAAGATTATAGGGATTCGAAATCCTTCACTTGGGACGCTTATCTAAAGGAAACGCGAACGATGGCTGCACCGGCTAGAGCGTTCAAGCAACGGCCGCCTTGTGGCTTCAAACGTGGTATGAAGTTGGAAGCGGTCGATAAGCGGGTGCCACAGTTAATCAGAGTGGCAACGGTTGAAGATGTTAAAGATCACATGTTTGTATAAATTCGTTTGCATAAATATGTTTTCTCTTTCGTTCTCGTTTTTGTGTCTTATGAAGTGTTCGTATCTTATACAGGTTGAAAATACGGTTCGACGGTTGGCCCGAAAGTCACGCTTATTGGGTGGATGACGACTCGCCCGATATTCATCCTGTGGGTTGGTGTATGAAGACAGGTCATCCATTGGAACCGCCACTTAGTGAGTTACCCTTTTTTCAATTTTTACTTTGTTTCACTTTTCAATTTTACTTTATGCATGCACTTCAGAATATTTTATGTTTCCAGCGTTACTAATGCGTATTTTATTATAACGTAGCGCCAGATAATTTGAACGATCGCCCAGAATGCGGTACATACGGCTGTCGAGGTATAGGGCATATAAAAGGGCCAAAATTTGCGACACATAACTCCGCATCCGGTTGCCCATATTCACCTCAAAATTTACATAAATTAAGGCAGATGTCTGACAGACTTAATTTCGCAAAGCATGAGGCGTGTGACTTTGAGGATGATATGCAGGATAAGTCAAGGCTAGAAAAGATTGACAAAATAAAAATGGAAAAACTCGACAAGCCCGATAAACTTTTATTCCCGGACGACAGGATATTGTTGATGGACAAAGAGATTAAACAAGAAGATGGAGATTCATCGGATAAAAACGACAAAAGTGAAAATAGATCAGAAAATTCAGAAAAGTATGTTGATATTTGTAACACACCAAAACTGTGATCATATAATTATAGCGTAAATATATGTTATGTATATTTACTGATATATATGTGTTTACTGATTAATGATTTTTTTGTTTCACAGGTCTTGCAAGTCTAATGGCCAAACAGATGATGATGAAGTCCCAAGGAAACGAAAAAAGAGGTTTGTTGCTTTGATTTTTCATATTTCGAATTCATAAAGACGCACCTACATGCACAATTACAAACAGTTGTTAAAACAGTTGTTAAAACGTGTGTTTTATTTCCAGACGTCATGTCTCCGAAGAGCAATTGTTTTCCGTTTCAAATTCTACGTACAGCGATTTGCAGTGGAATCCTACCCCGTATGCTACAGGCATGCCAGATAAACAACTGCGTAAGGAATTGTATCAATCTGTTTATAATCCAGGATACAATCCGTTACCAGAGGCGCCACATGTATGGGCGAAACATAGTAATGCCTTAAATAGAGTAGTAGCTAAGCAGAACACAAATCCGCGAAGATGGTCCAATGAGGAAGTCACTAAATTTATACAAAGTGTTCCTAATTGTAAGGATATCGCTCCGGTCTTCAGAAAGCACGTAAGTCCTTTTGCAGTTGTCAACATGTAATCAACACAACAGTCTGTTACTATTGTTATTGTATTGCTATTGTTACTATTGTTATTGTTACTCATCATCATCATTATTATTATTATTATTATGTTACAGAATATCGACGGAGAGGCATTTTTAATGTTGACGCAGGAGGATTTGATGTCGTTATTAGATCTACGGCTAGGACATGCTATCAAATTGTACAATAGTATAGTTCTATTGCGGCAACGAGCGACATAAATAACGCAATGTGAGAAAGATGCATGAGATTGACTTATAATACGCAGTGCATAGCTGCCATTATAGAGTCTGTTTAGTGCATATTTATTTGAAATACTATTAAGTACGGCATATATGCCAAATAAATATTTATTTAAAATTCTCTGATTTCGTCGATCGGTGCGACAGCGAAAGGTTATTGCAAAACTTAAACGCTTATATGCATATCCGTTTAATTTTTTTATATTTGCCATAGGATCATTACAAATTTAAACATTTTCGGCAGACTTGGCTACTTAGACTCAGTTTTTGTAAGATATTTCTTGTAGCAGAAATATTTTTCACGGACTAAGTTTCTTACGAGAATGTTTCAATTTAAAATATCTTGTGGTATATCAATTCCAGTAATGCCTGACACATACGACTTGCAGTAATTGTAAGTACTTATAATTATATGTAATTTCCTCATATGAGACAAGTGCATTGAATCATGTACAAATGTAAATACAATTTTAATTATTAAGTATTGTAATAAAGCGATTTAAGCAATCTTTTCACCCACTTCTGTCGCATGTTTACGAAATTAGGAATTAGTAATAACAAATCATGTTTATCATCTCACACATTGCGTGACGCGTTGTAAAAAGCTAAAGAAAAGAATATCGATGTTCGATACGCGTGTTTGAGGGGATCTGCGGACAATTTCCTGGTCGAGAAGCCCGACTGAAGGTATTACCGACAGTATGATTCTGTAGTACTACGCGAGAGAATACAATAGAGTCGGGCAGTATATGTTAAAATTTGATCAATTTATAATTTCGTTTCGTCACATGTTGACACAAAAAACATGTTTTTAAATTTTAAGAATTTGGACATTAAGTTAATCATAGATGCTTTGTAAAGTTATACTGTGGTGCCGATAATCATAAGAGATTATTCAATATCTCACGGAATTGCTGAATCTTTTTTCAAATAAATCTCTTTCTCTCTTTTACTCTCTCTTTTTTTGAGAGACATGACAGCTATAGGAATCATATACTCTACAATGGCATCGATGGTTATATATTAAATATATATACTTTTTATACGCAGAACTTTGAGAAATATTGACGTCCAATTTTATATAGATGAATTCAACTTCCACCAGTTTTGCTAGTAAGATAAAACAGATCGATTACTATCGATTACTATCGATTACTTTCGTCCATATCTTTAGCGAATTTTGTAGTTTAATATTGTTAAATACATTATATATATAGGTGTCGTGTTTTATATTCTACAGCATGTGTGGATCCTTTTCCTTTCTACTATGTCCTTGCATATAATTGGATACCCAATGAATATGGAAAGTTTTCTTGTTGCGAGAGTGTGTAACTTTGTTGACAGCAGTGCAATTTAAAGCGAACAATACCACAGTGCATATGATTGGAATAATTTTCATAGTTCTCGGATAGAATAAGTCCAATATTTGCAAATATACGATTAATACAAAATGCAATATTTCTGCATCTAAATAAATCGGATGTGAAGCATTGAATTTATTACAAATCGCGATCTTTTTTGGAAATATTCAGCAAATGTCTTTTTTTTTTGTACACTTATCTAAGTACAAATGTTTAACAAATATCAATTCAAACCATATTCCCAGAGTGACGTAAACCGCTTCTAACTGGAACAATATACGTTATTATGTATATTTTTTCAGAATATTTTGCAAAGTAAACTTGTGGTGTTCACGTACGTTTGAAGATTCAGCATAATACAATTTCTCAAAACAAATGTAAATGGTGTGAAAATTGTCCGCAGAGCGTCGTTTAAGCTTAACCGAGGCGAAATCCGATCATTTTTACGTCCGACAATTTTGTACATATTTTTGTTCGATCATTTTGCAAAACGAAATGCTTCTTCGGTGCAATTCGTCGTCGGTCGGTCGCGTGCTGCAATTTGAAAGAGAGCGATTTACGCCGGTGTATGCACCTCTCGATCTGTCCCCTCCCTCGGGCGGCCGCACGCTTGTTGGCAATCCCCCTCTTTCACTCTCTTCCTCCCTCCTCGAGCGACCGGCCGGCGACGTGCCTGCTATGGTGATGTTTACAGCGTAGTCACGGCAACGTCTCATGTGATCAGTCGGCGAGCCGTCGTGCGCCGGGTAACAGTAGGTGATTGTGCTGTGTGTGTGCGAGTATCAAATTGTGCTTCGCGACGTGTATCGTATTGTCGCGATCTATTACTCACGAAGCGTTGACAGTTCTCGACGGCTCAATTTTGAGCGGAATGCAAAACGCCGGCACGTCGTTGGCGACGGACTTGGATCATTCAGTGTCAATTACTTTAAAGAGTCGCGTGCGAACGTGAAGCTGTCGCACTTGAAGTGAACGAATCAACAGCGATACCTCGTCTCTCTTTCTCTCGAACGTTCGAACCATAAAACCGAGAGAGAGAGAGAGAGAGAGAGAGAGAGAGAAAAAGAGTGATTGACACTTCGTAATTACCGTACACGATAATCACGGGATGAAACACGAAGCAAAGATCGAAACGCCGGCGTCGATCGGTGCGAGGCTCAAATCGCTATTTCCGGAAGCGTTCCTCGTTTGACTCGCGCGCTGCTTTTTCTAACACGTGACACGTGACCGGCGTCGAGGGTGCGCGCGCGCGCGCGCGCGCCTCGTATCGTCGCTTTGTGTCGCGTTGTCCCATATTATCACTCCGTTTATCGTTCTGTATCGATAGCACATTCGACGCACTGTGTGTCTCTCTCTCTCTCAGCAGAATCCCGGCTCTGCTGCGAGCACGACCGAAGGACGACTGAAGAACGAGCGGACGAGAGTTCGCGCGTCGCCGAGGACACAAAAAAACAGGAGTCAAAGTCAAAGCGGGGAAAGAGAGAGAGATAAGAAGAGTGCTTGGCGCGACGTGAAGTTGGCCGGGCCGCAGACGGTCACGTGACCGCGCGGGAAGGACACGAAGTTAGTCGTGTGTGTGTGTATGTTATGGTCGGCGCGTTTTCGTTTGCCAGACGAAAGGAGGACAGCGATGCTGTGCTGGCGTGGCCGCAGGTGAACCCCGGGGGGGACGATAGATGCGCGGAACTCGCGATTGCGGGACAAGGGTGGCCCAGCAAGTCCACCACCGTTAGCTGCTCGCGCCTTCACTCGCCCATCACCAGCACCGTCGTCGTCGGCGCGGAATCCGGTGCTGCCATCGCCGCCGGCATGATGTCGCGAAGTCTGCCGACGAGACGCGGCCTACAGGCGTTGGCGCTCGTACTCGCCACCTCCTACGCCACGATCTTGCTCTACCAGGCCGTGGCGCAGCGTCAGGTAATTAGAACGCTCCTCCTTATCGTGTCTTGTCCTCGTTAACGCGCCGTTTTACGGCGCGCTCGTCGTGCGGAAGCACGCGCCCTCCTAACCGTCGTATGTGTCGGCGATGCCGAACGAGGCGATCGTCGGTTGCTCGATCGTGGGGAGGGAAACCCTCTCCCGGGGTTTCTCATTGAACACCCCGTCGTGTTCGACGCTCGAGAGAGAAAGAGAGAGAGAGAGAGAGAGAGAGAGAGAGAGAGAGAGAGAGAGAGAGAGAGAGAGAGATCTCGAGCTCAGATCGCTTCGTTCTGCGTCCTCACCGTTTGGCGTGATAACCTTTGAGACCTTTGCGAACGATATGTGAATATTCATAAGATAACGGTTAGGTTAGGAGGTTTGATTTCAAAATGTCGCTGGGGAGAATCATCGGTAACCCCGGTGTGCTGCCACACCTGCGGTACCTGCCGTGTCGTGTCGTTAGGATATGTACAAAGTTATAATTAGTTACATATGAACAAGATCAATAGAGAGGTCTCTATCACCGAATCGATGAGCGATCATTCGAAACGGCGCGATAATTCACACATTGGTAACACGATTTGTCGCGATACTGATCGTTAATCGCCTTGTTTACTTTCCTTTCCGCTGACTCCTCTTTTTGCATCTCTCTCACTCTCTCTCTCTCTCTCTTCTCTCTCTCGTTGCAGTGGATCGACGAGGTGAACCTCGCGGAAGTGAGCAGGAGCGTGATAGTGGAAGCACCTGCGTCGAGGAGGATAATCAGCGAGGAATCGCCGCCGGTGACGCCGCCGGTGGCGACGGCGACCATGGCACCGTACACCACGAACCTCGACGACGTGTTTATCAGCGTGAAGACCACCAAACATTATCATCACTCGCGCTTGCCGGTCATCATCGCCACGTGGTTCCAATTCGCCAAGAATCAGGTGAGTCTCTCCTTTTGTGCCTCGCCATGCTCTTGTAGACCTGTGTAATTCCAATATTTCGAATTGATCGGGGAGCCGCTCGCTCCCCGTCTTTTTGCCTTGGAATCTCTGCCCTTCGATTTTTAGGAATACAGCGCGGCCCGCTAAAAACCCGGGATTCCGATACTTAGCGATATTTTGCGACGTTATCCACTTCGCTCGACTGCTTCGCTGATTTCGTTCGCTTCGTAAATATTATCGTGGCATTGTCGGGATCATCGTGCGGTTCTGCTCTCAATTGTTGCTTTGTGAGATTAAACCTCTTGTCCTGTAATATCGCTTTTTCGGCCAAATGTAAGAGACACGAGTCAGGCTCGTGGTGCAATTTTTACGTGTTTTGGTCAATATGGTACGTATATCGGGCCAAGTATAAGAAGCGCGAGTAAGACTCATCGTATGTTTTGCGGGCCGAACGTGGAAAACTAAAGTGAGATTCAATTTTTACGTGTTTCCGCCAATGTTCTGCGTCTGCGATGTTTCTTGCGACTTGCGATTTATGTATGATCGGGCATTATACAGATGCAACTTTATCACCGACTTTGGCACGCGCTGTCGCGACTTGAGTCACTTGAATGCAAGGGCTTAAGTTAATAGCATTAACTTTTGACGAGGGAATCTTTCACACGCGGAAATAATATCATCGTTGTTTGTTGATCAAGTCTTTAATATTAGACCTATCGCAAGACCTGCAATATCGTGCATCTCTTATCGATATATTATAGACAGGTATAGAAAATAGAACTTCTTTTTTTTTCCAAAGTAACATATTGGTATGTTTAATTTGTAGAGTTATATTTTGCAAAATAACTGTATATTCTCGTCAAACTGTCAAGAGTCAAACATCGATTTGAATTGATGAAACATCGATGAATTTATTATGAGAAATTATTGTAATACATGGAATTTATACGTATGGTATATTATATGAAAATATTACGCAAGCATAATCGATATAAATGCGAGTGTCAGTTGAGGGGGAAGAAAGACACAATTAAATAACAAGAGACACGCGATAATTATCTACCGACTAATGAGAAAGACAAAGAAAGACGAGAGAATAATGAAGCAGCTCGCACGGTGAAGGAAGGGGAGGGAGGGAGGGGTAAAGAATCGGAAGGAAATAATATCTCGGGGAGTAACGGCTTCGTAACAATCGCGGCGTCCGCGAAGTTTGCGAGAATCATCACTCGTAAAGAGAAGGCGGGGTTAATCGTGTTAAGGCGTGATAAATGTACGCATAGTCTTATCGCGGCGTCTTGATCGCCGCGGGAGATACATCTATACGCTTTTCCCGGGGAGCGGAATAGGCCGCACTTTGTGCACGACTCGTCGGGCCCTATCCGAGGGTATCGAAGCGTATTCGCGTGGACTGAGGCGTATTCGCGCGTACTTCAGCAGAGACCGTGTCGCCGAAGATCCGCTCGATGAATTCGCGAGCTCTCACGCCGTGGGAATGGGACTCCTTCAGTCCCTCCTTCCCGTACGGTCTCTCCCTTCCTTCCTTCCCATTCGCTCCCTTCGCTGGATATTCGCGTAATGGTAAATCGTGATCTTCCGCGGAGTCGTCTCGGGAAATTCTGCAAAAAGCTTTCATCCTGAAACTCTACAGGAGAACAATGCCGTCGGCCATGCGATCGAATTAAATCGGAGACTGCGACGGTGATTTATATTTCATGAGTTCGAGGAGCAAGGCGATGGATTTCTATATCTGTCTGTGAATCAATAAATGTACGAATTGTCGGCGAGAGAATCAATATCGCGCAGCTTTTGTTCACACATACACGCACAATTTATAGTCTCGCAAATCTTTCTGTAATAAGTTACTTGGGCTGCGTACGGTCGACTTCTACGATCGCGTTCTCTTCTTTTCTGCACGCACTTCGAGACGCGTGTACATAATTTACGTTGCGTATATTTGTAATATAATATACGTTCCTCGTGCCGGACGAAGAAATAAGAACACAACACAACATAACATAACAACAACAACAACACGACGAGGACGTTCGTGTCGACCAGCGGCTTCTGCGTTCTTCCGCGTTTCTTCGGGTTAATATACCGTTTCTCCGGGTAATTGCTACCTAGATTTGCACGCGTTCACGCGTTTCCTGTGTAATCCCGCAAGGTTGATTCTCTCACCTGTGCCACGCTCCTGGAGGAGCATGAAGCGACCCACGAGGCGAGTCGTCGCCTCGTGTCGCTCTCGTCGATAGCCCGACTCGATTCCGTCCGTCGGGCTTCTGATTTCACGCTCGATTCTCTCGCTCGTCTCTCGAGTCTCGCGCGTTGATTCACATTTTTCACGGCGCGATATAGGAAACGCCAATTGGCCGCGTTAGTCATCGTAATTTCGTGCCTCTTAGAATCTTCCACTTTTTGCATTTATCCTTATTAATTCATCAGCGATATTTGATACTTGATAAGTCGAATATAACGCGTTAACATTTGTCACTTACACATTTGCACCCGCATTCGAATTCGCACTCGAGAAATTACGAGAAAGTTACTTTTTCGATTTTTCATCTCGTCGAAAACAGGTCGAAGGACAGTTTTTCACTTCCGGTAATTAAGCAGCTTGTAATTCTCACGACGCGCCGCGTCTCTTAATTTGCTTCGTATCCCTGATTATTCTCTCTTTTTCTCTTTCCCCCCTTTCTCTCTCTCTCTTTCTCTCTCTTTTTCTCTGTCTCTCTGTCCGTCGATCTCACGCTTTTTCATTGCCTCGTACGTCGTTGCCCGTGACTCGGTACGCATTTTCCGCGCGATGCGAGCGGTGAAAAAGGGCGATGGGAATAATAAAAGTCTCTGTCCGGCGTCGTGTGTACGGCGTCGCTTGTGTTTCGTGGGAAGATCTCACGACTTACCTCCGACCCCGGCGACCTCCGCGTTAACCGACTTAGTCCACCCACGAGGAGAGCATTTCCGACGAACTCACCTTTTCGTTCCTTCTTTCTCGATAATTAAGCGATGCACCGCGATCCCGCGAGTCGGCCGGAACGACGGTGCCTTCGCAGGTAAGAGACAGATAGAGAAAGAGAGAGAGAGAGAGAGAGAGAGAGAGAGAGAAGGGAAGGAGAGAGAGAGAGAGAGAGAGAGAGAGAGAGAGAGAGAAAGAGATAGAGATCTGGATCGTTACTGACTTTCATGTTTTCATTGAGGCGGAAATCCAATGCATTCAACGAGTACGTGATATCGTATAAATCGAATGAAAGAACATTTCTGTGTTGTAAAAAGTGCCGACTTCGGGAACGATTCGTTTCGTATATTTGCGGCCGTTTGATTTCACAATGAATCAAATGCAATATTTATCTTCGAAATAGAAAAACAGTTCATTTATGCGTATTCGATTGAAACTGCGAAGCATTTTAAATGTTAATAAAATCGTAGACGCGCGCGTTTGTCGAGCAACAACAAGGGCGAAAGAAAATTATACGTCAATAATCTCGAACGGGTCGCGTCGAGCGAAGCCCGCGTTGCCTTTCTTCGCGGAATTAAAAATGCGCGACTCGATTTACGTTCGGTGATTTATCGCGGCTTAGATAATAGACTCAGGTAGAAGCTCGGCCGCCCGCTCGAGGCTACGAATTGTCTATCGGGGCAACACGTCTTGGAAGTGTAGATCGGTTTCTTTCCGAATTATTTGCGGGAAAATACCCCTTGAAAATGTAGATTGCACGCTCGCGAGAATTTTTTGAGTTGCACGACGAGCAATCCTCGCGAAGATTGCGCTCGTATCGTAAGCGTATCTCGAGCGAGACGAATGTTGCGCTCTTTGAATTTCTTCGAGCGAGACTTCGCCTCGAAAGGTAGCCGAGTAACTCGAATTCGGCTGACTTTTCGTACGGAGTGAATTTTCCGCTCCGAATCGTCGAGTGAATATCTCCCTTCGCGTTCGAAGAGCGCGAATCTGACTCTATCGTCTCGTAGGAACAAATCGACTTTCTCATCGACCGAAACATTCGCTCGTGTGGTTTAAGAATTCACTCGGAGTATTTTCCATAATCGAACTGTGAGTGAATTTTTGCTTCATTTTCGATGAGATTTCGATTACGAGAAAATGGGAAATATCGCGAGATAAAGAAACAACACGAGTGCCCTTTCCGCTGTCCGCATGCGCAGTTTTATTCGTCATCGCTTTTATTTTGTTTGTCGTCGCTTAGTCAACACTTTCGCGTGTCTATTGGTTTGCTAGCCGGAAAGTAAATCCCTCCGAGGGACCCGAAAGAACGTCGACAGGCAGGTTGTCAGGCCAGTTGAGGTTTCTTCTCCTCCTGTGTCCCTCTGCCAAATCAAACGGCGTCGCGATGTTTTGATTATTAATCCGTCGTATATCGCAAGATGACGCCTTTTAATAACGCGCTCCACTGAGGAGGAACATTGCTCGAGCGTTTATTGCCGTCGCGGTCCCTACATATTCACCTTTCTCCCACCGGCCACCCTTTCGCGGCTTTGTTAATGGTCTTTAATGGCCGCGTTTATACACCTCGCCACCTCGCCTTCTTTTCTCGTCCTTACGTGCCCGGTATTTTATGCGGCGCGATAATGGGGTCAAAGTCGTTAATACCTCGGCACTCGGCTCACTCGCGAGTTGCCCTGCCTCGGGATCCGCCTCCTAGAAACCACGAAAACAATCAGGTCTCGCGTGTCTTGTTCGCGTTGTACCCCGGCTTTAACAACGTTAAGAAAAATCGCGTGTACCCGGGAACGCTTAATGATACACCTCGCGATCGTCCTCTACGCAGGATGCTCTGCAAAGCCCCAATATCGACGTAAATCACCGAGATAATTCATTGAGGTAATCGCCTCGATCGATTCCACCGTTCGCCCAGGCTCCTTAATAATCGTCGTTAAATCGTAGTCAATTAAAAGTCGAGTAAAATCCCATCGAGGCAAACTGATCTCGCCGAAAATTAAGCAAAGAAAGATATCAGTGTTTTGCTGCTTAAGCATACTCGGGAGCTTCTCATCTGCATCAACCTCTCTCTCTCTCTCTCTCTCTCTCTCTCTCTCTCCTCTCCTCTCTCTCTCTCTCTCTCTCTCTCTCTCTCTCTCTCTCTCGCCCAGCGATTAAACCCCGAGGTGACTTATTCCCTCGGTTACTTCTTCTCTGTCCTCCTCTTTTTTTACTCACGATAATCTTCGGGAGATTTTTCTCTGCGGGTTTGTGTCCGGAGTACAAATTTGTCTGGAATTTCTCTCGTTGTGCGCCTCTTTAAGATTCGACAGTCATGCCGTCCGATTATCGTGTCATTAGGCGCGAGGTGTGAACACGGCTAGGCACAAATTTTCGTGATCCACCAAAAGACCCGGATTGTGTGGATCGCGTGGTCCAGGCCCGGTGTCGTTACTCAGAATGACTCGGCCGATACTGCAATCCCCCAATCGACGAAGGTCGTTCCACCGGTCTGAACTGGCTCTGGATAATTGGTCGATTACTTCGGTTATTTAAGCAAGTCTTAAAAGGCCCCGAGGCAATTTCGCGCGGCGCGCCGATGTGGGCTCGCCCGCTCGCTCGCTCGCGCGCTCGCGCTTCGGCGAATTATTTTCTCTTAATTTCCATTGCCTCTGCTTTGTTCACGGCGAGCCGCCACTGTAGTTTTCAATTGGCCCAATATGTGCGATATAATCGACGCGCCACCGCGCCGAACGATATTTATCCAATCCTTCCTGATTGAAGATTACGATACGAGCGTGCGTCGTGGAGAATTCGGCGTGCCACGGACGTGAGGCACGAAAGCTCGGTCGAGCGCGAAGAAATGTTCTCTCGCAGCGTCGCGCAAATGTATGAATATATTTGACGCTTTTGCTTATTCATTTATTGTAATTTATTCGTCGCAATCGCTGCTTACGCAGAATCCTAATGAGTTGGACAAATCAGAAATCAGACAATTCAGAAGATCGATGAGGTGCCGGGGCGACCGCTTCACGGTCGCCTGGAAGAACGAAATTTTTTCGTTCGTTTTACACGATTACAGAGAGATCCCAACGGAGGATATCAAAATTTCTTGGAAAGAATTAAAGCAATTATTGAGCTGCGCCGCAAAAGTTTTGATGAATTTCCCAAAGATGTGGTTGATTCAGCATTTGATGGCAGCACTTACACAAACATGTACATGTATGATACGTATATTAAAAGATATGATAGAAAACAATGGCAATTACACGACAGAATTGAACAAATCGTCTTTAATACAGAATCGGTCCATTTTTCTATCACGAGATCCACTAAAACTTTTGTCGCATTCACCCAAACAGTTCGCCAAACAGCCGCAGACAACCCTCAAATCGAGTTCGCTAATTCGATTTGAGCTACTTAAATTGATTCCCTTTTGTAGCGGAGCGCTTTTCGTTTGCCCACCCAGTCGACTGATACGAATTTCACCGGTTACTGTCGTTACGCTGATCGTGCCCCAACGTCTCTTCGGTGAAGTCATTCGGAAATGTACTTTCTGCCGAACGTGGATGGTTTTATAAAATTCGCGCAGCTAACGCAGTTAACGATATACTCCCGCATAATTTTCTCCGCTTCGGAGATTGCCGGCGGACGACGTTCGCTCGGCGTAGGTGGGGCTATCGTGAAATTCTCCTCCGCGGCGCGAAACGAATTCGTCCCGCCTAATTAGTCGTAACGAGCGCGGCTCTTAATACGGCTCTGCGCTCTCGCCGTATCCACAAACTACGGCGCAGCGTGACTATCGCGCTACGTGAAACGACTCGCCGGACGACGGAGTGACCGACACTCGGGCGAACTCGACGAATTCCCGGGCGAAAGGACCGAAGATCAGCTTAACGACGACACGCGTTAAGTACGCCGTACGCGCCGGATTAATGCAATTATGTCGATGTAATGCGACGCCGGTGCCACTGACGTCACCGCGGCGCACACGCTCGCTCGTCTCTTATTTTTGTACGCTGCGTACACTCGTTGCCGGATATTCTTTCTGGGAATGCTGACGAGTTCTCCGGCCTCCCTCTTTTTCTCCATCCTCGCATGCCTCGAATAAATTGTCGTCGCAATTGTAGCGCCTCTCGTTGCACGCGCTATTTTTAACGTTCTTCGCATTTTGAGCCCTCCCCCCCGCCCTCGGACATCCGGTTGCGACGACATCCGGAAAAGTGTCGTCGAACCTGAACTCGAGATCGAATGTCGCGCGTCGTAACTTGAAAATCCGCGCACTTCTGCTACGCGATCTACCGTCCAAACTCCCCGTGAATTGCGATCGCTACTGGCTGACTGGCTTTACACGCGGTTTACCGAATTCTGTCCGCTGATCGCGACATCGATTAAATCACGCGTGATTTATTTATCACCTCTAGCCGCCCGTAATCCATCCGAGGTAAGCGATTTAATTTCGCCCCAATTAAAACAGACCGACGAACAGGCCGACGTGATGCGCAATTCGCCCGCTCGTTTAATAAACGCACGCCAGGACGACGTAAAATATCGGGATAATTAGTTCGCAATTCCGCAACGCGCCGCCGTTCACGGGATTGTTAGTCGTTCGCGCGGAGAAAGCGGTGTGGGTGTGAAATTACGGCGGCGAAATTGCCTCACGCCGACAATTTTCCCGTGAAAATTCTTTCACCTTTTCTCTCTCCCTCGCCCCCCTCTCTCCCCCCTCTCCCTCCTTACGGTCGTACAATGACGTACGCAGTGGCCACGTGAAAATCATCGGGATACAATGCTTCTGACGTCTGCGGCGTCATCCCCCTTCGTTCGTTCTTGCTCCTTCACTTCCTGAAGGGAACTACTCTTGGGAACTAAAAATAAGCGAGTACTTTAACACGTGCGGTGTACGGCGATCGTAACGTAACGACGCCGTGATACGACGTTCGTCCAGATGCAAGTGCCGCGGAAGGGAGATGCGATGTGACAGATACAAATGGAAAGCCTCAGTTCTCTTTCTCTTTCTCTCCTTCACACACGCTGCCTCGATATAAATTTTCTAACGCCACGAAAAATACACGGGAAACTCGAGTAGTTTCCGATTGAAGGGTACAGTCGGCGGCAGAAAGCTTGCCACGCTCGTTTCCGTTTTTTTCTTTCCTGTTGATGAGTTTCGTGATTCGTATCCGACGGGAGAATTTATGTTCCAGTAATTCCCAGGAGATAAATTTCCTTCCCTATTGGATGCCGGACGTATATTCCGAAATATTACGTGCCGTGCGTCTCGTGCTATTTTATAGTTAATAACCGGGGGATTTATTTCTATAAAAGGTTCTTTCAGTTCTATTTTATTCATATCATGAGCACACGGGATGTAAACAATAGGAATACTGTTATCGAGGCGATCGTTGAAACTTTTTCGTTTGTATACAAACGTATCGCCGGGGTGCGTGATCGGAGACACAATCGTAAACAGACGGCAAGGTCGAAACATTACGCGCGACTTGTTTTATACGGTTTTATATTTGTTTCTTGCCTCGCGAAGTTGTGTCAGTACGACTTCGGGCTCTCGCGAATACAAATGGGAGAAATATCGTAGCGGCGCAAAGTGCCCCAAGGTTAGTGGATTTATTGCATGTAACTGACGCGAACGGAGCGACCCGCTTCGTTTCGAAGGGATAAGAAAAAGGACTGAAATTTACGATCGATACGTGGTGCGTGTTGTTTGCTGGGATGGTCTGCGGTAAACAATCAAGTGCGTACGTGCCGCAACGCGATTATTGCGCGCGCCGCGCCGCGTTGAGCCGGATCGCGAGTGCATGTGTGTGTGTGTGTGTGTGTGTGTGTGTGTGTGTGTGTGTGTGTGTGTGTGTGTGTGTAATCAAAATATAACACGATTTCCTTTCATTCTTGTTTGCAGACCTGGTTCTTCACCGACAGGGAGGACCCGTACTTCCAAAATCAGACGAGTGAGTATTCTCCTTTTTCCTTTATCTTCTCTGATTTTACTTGGCAAGACCAAATTAAAAGCCAGTCCAATTATCTGTCGTTCAGCTGCACGCTGGAATTTTCATTCAAAGTCTCGTGAATTTGCCAGTGATTCTTTATAAAAGTCGGGCAAGTAAATGCGTCATACAGAGTCGTTGCACTTGACTCCTCTTCGGTATCTCATTAACATGTCGCATAAATTAAAGATTGATATCCGTAAATTTTGACATAGAAGACATCATTATTTTTTTAATAAAGACTGCAAGACTTTCTTTCTGAATAATTAGAGAATAATAGACTCTTAATGGGCCGTCGGTTGTAAATCGATCTTTGCTCTTGCCAGGATTTAACAGTGAGACTTATAAGGCAACATTGCGGTCGATTTATGATTGTAACTTTGTGTATTTACTAAAATCGCTAAAATTCGCGACCGGTTGAAAAATCGCGCGCGCGGCATGAGAAATGATCGCGACGATGCCGTTTCATTCGTCGACCGAAGATCTCGAGATTATGAGAGCGCACCTGTCGATGCGCGATCGCGTAAACATTTTCTTTACAAATGGCTCTATTAAAAAAGAAACCCGGGCTAAGCGTACGTGTACTCCTCGTGTAATATGAGGCACGGATAATTACGGCGGCAGGCCTTAATGGCCGTCCTCGTTTATGCGATAATTGCTGGCGAAACGAGCGCGTGTGCGGGAGCTCGTCTCGTCCGCTTGTAGGAGCCGAGTCGCTCGTCAATCATTTCGAAATTTTAGTCATATCTGCTCTCCGTGTCGCTCGCAGCGTCGCAGGATTAAGGTGCGGTTTATTTGGACAATTGCTCGGGGCGTCGAAACAACCGAGGCACGCGGGTGTGACGTCATTTCTCTGTATACCCGCTCTATTTAGCGCTTAATATTGCGGGACGCAGCATATATTGCAAATTTAACAGTCAACTCAAATTAACCGGTTAATTCGGGTTAACCTGAATTAATCGTGGCTGCATGTTAGCGGAACTTGGCGGAACCTGACTAATTCGCCGGATTTGCGCATCTAATCCATCTGGAAATCTAGAAAATCTGGTTTAGCCGCTTTGACGCGTAGCACCTCATAATTACATGCACACACGCGCGTGCGCGTGCATACGGTCTCAAGTCCTTGTCTCTTATGACCTTCACTTTGTACACTTGTTTCTCATATCTTAAAATTTACGACGTTTGGAAATAAGAAGGAGAAGAAATGGTAAACGTCAACTCGGCCGATTTTGTTTTCGTCAAGGAAAACGTCACGTTCGAGAATTGCTGTTGTCGCGGTGTCGCGAATACGCAGCGGTATCGGGGATAATTATCGAGACACCGGATGTTCAGTAAATTAAAAAACGACACGCCGTATGAAATAAAGAAAGAGAGAAAGAGGAAAGCAGAAGGCACGTGTGCGCGAGAATTGCTCGAATAGGTTCGGCGAGATCTGCATACGCTGTATCAACCGGTTTGCGCGAGCCCTCGGGAGTGATCGATCGATCAATCGATCGCGTCGATAGCCACTCTACACGCGCAGAACTTTAGAACTTGGTACTCGCGTACTCGGAGTGAGCACACTATATTTATGGCGAGCATATTAAATTGTTTTGACTATTAAGCAGCGCATTAAAATTAATTACGCGAAATCGCTTATTTGCTCGCTTGTTAATCGCTCGGTTTTCCTTAAGTTAATTCATCGATGACACCGGGGAATATAGAGTGTGCAGTATCTTATGTAAAAAAAGAAGAATGAAAGAAGTAAAACCAAGAGCAGGAATATTTCTGTTTACTCGCGCAAATTTATTTGCATCATTACGCACTGATGAAATGCCCTCGCGGCTCGCTCGCTCGCTCGCTCGATTTCTTTCTTCTTCTCTTTTCCTCGTGTAATTCAAAATTCCATTCCGTCGCTTTATATCCGCGCGTGAGTCAGTAGCACCGAGCACCGAGGATAATAACTGCAACGGCGAATTCTAACCGACGAGACGGATCGTTGCCGGCTTGCTATAGTGCACACCTCCGACTGCACCCTCGGGCGCGGATGCGGATGACGAGGAGGCGGAGAAAACGGATGATGAGAGACGGCTGGCGAAGGGCGGAAAGATACGCCGCGAACACGGATAGTATATCGTGCAGCGGACGAAGTGAGAGAAGCGAGTCTTCGTTCGCTCTTGTAGTTTCGATCATTTTGGACGATCATAACCGCGTCGTTCTCGCGGCCGAGGGTAAGAGTTGCTGAAGAGAAAGTATCGGCGGTGTGTCGCTACGCGGGCATTAATTTCTTGGACGAAACGTCGATCACGAGATGAAAGTGCGCCCGTGATTTGCGAAATAAAGCCGCCGAGGCCTGATGGCGATTAGCTCGTTTCCACGTTTTTTGATAAAGTAGACAGTTGGTCAGAAACATTACAAACGTTTCATAAAAGTCCTTTTATATATATATATATATATATAATGAAGCGGTTATTTACCTAGTCACGGAATTTTCCTAGTCACGTCGCTCGAAAACGCCGTAGAGCAAGATCGGAAACTCATCAGCATGACGAATCAGCAACCGCGCGTAAGAAATGACGAAATTCGCGCGGATCGTTACGAAGAGCGCACGGGCGCTCCTTAATAAACTCGACATTATTTCATGCTCCGCTCATAACTCGGGCCGCGCATTAGTCACGAGCGAAGCCGGCGGAGCGTAGGTGGACGCGGGTCCCGAGAAGGATAATATCGGGTACAGAAGGAGGTACGTAGGAGGAGGGATGAGCACGCGAACCCTCGGGCACCGTCCGACATTTGACCTCACCACGCGCTCTGCACCGGTTTGCACCTCCGCATCGGCCATTTCTCATTACCGTTCCTACCTGACTCGAACTCGATCCACCCTTCGCGGTTTGCCCAGGTGTGGACGCTGACAAGTTCGCGCCGGAAATCTCGCGTGTAACGACGCGCTGGAAAATATCGTTTACGTCGAGAACTCGACTCGATCGAATTTCTCTCTCTCTCTCTCTCTCTCTCTCTCACTCCGCGTCGCGTTTTCTGTATGCACGGTCACGTGTCTTCGTGTTGCGCGCGATTACCTACTTTCAGGAAATTATGGATGCTACAAACCGTCAATGGCCGAATTTTATTAACGACGTAAAGTTGATGACGATTTTTCCACGTATCGCGCGTTCTCTTTTGTTGCAAGTTACTTCTGCAAGTCTCGAGTCTGCAATCAAATTCCATTCAAGACGATCTCGATTGTTTGGCAAAGAACACTCGCTCCGTGCACGCGTGTGCGTGTATGTACAACTTTAATCGCGATACGTCCCGCCGTGGAAGCGGCGGTAGCGCTCCCGAAGAAGCGAGAACCATCAGCTCGAATTAATTAGGCCGCCGTAGCAGCCGCTCGGGAGGATGATTATTAAGCTCTTAATTAATTGCACGCCCACCCCGCGCTCAACTCCTTCCCGTTTGCTTTCAGACGGCCACATGATCGACACCAAGTGTTCCTCCTCGCACAATCGGCGGGCCCTCTGCTGCAAGATGTCCGTCGAATTCGACCGATTCCTCGCCAGCAACCGAAAGTGAGTTTTTCAAGACTGTGCAATTTTATTTTGACATATTTTATTAGTCGCATCGAGTAGTACTAACGCCAACAGAGTGCCAGCTTTGACAAGGTTTAAGCGGATTTACAGAAATTGCAGACGCAAGTAACAAAGTATCATTTGTCCTGGAATTTTTTTCCATGGATTTTTTCTGTTGGCGTTAAAACTACGGCGGTAGTATTCTCGAGTCGAAATTTTGCCTTGAAGACTTTTCCCTGCGACTTTCGTCCAACTTGAAGTATTAATTAGAAATTATCCGACCTTAATTAACATCGACGCTCTTGTCGGTCTCGCCGAAGGACGCAACAGGTTGATTTTCTGTACGCTCTTTATGTCGCTGGCATGACCGCGCTGCGCTTATTAAGATTTTCACTCTCACCCGCTTTTAAAGTTTCTGGATCTTGTTTAATCTGCGCGCGTGTGCGCGACTCTCTCTTACGAGAGATTTTTAGAACATACACATGAGATAAGTTTTATTTAGAACGAAGCGCGTTTACGGAACAATAACAATAATAAAAACGGAACAATAAAAGCTCTCGGTTTTAATCTGTCGATCGGACGACAAGTCGGAATGTTTCTCGTTTGATCTCTAAATACATTATAAAGCCACGTCCATCAGAATCTGGTTATTCAGAGATCATCTGTCTGCTGTATAGCGCCTGCGCTATACGCTATACAATAACACACGAGCAGCATAACAGCGATAACGCATCGCGCGATGCGCTTCGGCGAGTGAAGCGTGACTTTTCCTCGCGAATTAAACAAAACGGAATGAGAAGCAATTCGCTTGGGGCAAAAAGTCGTTCGCGATCTCACTGTTCGGCATTCTTGCCCCCCTTTTTTTTTTCATACGATTCTACATCGCTCGCGCACTCGGTGCACTAATGATAATCGCCCGCGCAACAGTCGGGGACGTGCTAGCCAAGATATCACTGTCCTTACGCGACTCGTTCTCCTAACAATCATCTTGGCGCCGATCTCGGGCGCAGACGGCGATCCGATAAGAAGCCGGACGTAAGGACACCCGGCTATATCGTCACTCGGACAAATAAATATCTCCGCTGGAGGCAGGCTTATCCTCGGGGTTATCTGCTATCGCTACGCGTGTCTCCCTTTTTCTCCTCTCCACTAAGCCGCGTCCGGAGTCTCCGTTACCGGTTTGATTATCCGAGCGAGCGTCTCGATAACAGTATAACGTCGATATCCGGTCCGATAACACGTCGATCTCATACGCGCTAACCGTACATAAGACACGGTCTTCTCTACGCTCGAGACAATGCACGCTGCCGACGACGACGACGACGACGACGACGACGATGACGGCGCGTTTGGCTCCCTTCCCGGGCGAACAAACGTTGACGTTTCCGCGTCGGAGATCCGTGCGTTAGATCACGCGCTGGTGGGCAGGCAGGTAGATGGGAATCTATTATCGGCGATAGATGGTACTAAGTGTTTCTTCATTGCGAGATTGATACGCGATACCCCATCGCGTCGCAGCCGCCACCGTCGTGTCGCCGCTCGTGTAGCCTCAACACTAGGAATGGGATCAAGCTCGGTATGCGCCGGGGAATCCGAATCAATCCGATACTCTAACGCGAGGAATGCTCGCAAACTCTCTCCCTCTCTTCCCCTTCGGTTCACTTTAACGGTGCTTGTGCGGACACAGGGCGAACGGTGATGATACTCTGGCGTTTCCTCTCGTTTCCGTCGGCTTTTGTCCTCGGGGATCCGATTGCCCGTCTTGCAATTACAACGATCCAGTTTCAGAGGCGGTGGATCACTCTGTAATAGCGGTGGCTCCTTTTGAGAGAGAAAATTTCCTTTGCCTTTTCCCTTTTTCTTTTCTAACTGTGACAGTTAGTTTAGTTTTTCCTCGGCCCTTTGTCCCGGCTCCGTCGACTCCGTCTCTCGATGTTGCTTCATTGTATACGAATCTAGATACGAATTCAGATACGAATTTCGGGGCCGTTGTGTTCGTAAGGTGCACTTTTGTTTTCCTTGCCCTTGAGCGCAACGGGCGCAGGTATCACCCTCAACAATGCATTCCTCGGGGAATGAAAGGGCCTTAATCCCTCGTCGCGCGGATATCGAGTTCGTGCCATTTCGTACCTGCTGGTTGGACCAGGGAACCGCTGATCGTCACTCCTATTCTCTGGAAACGAATGTTTTAAGCGTTTTTAAATTCTCTCTTTTTTTTTTTCTGTTTCCCTTTTTCTCCGCAAATATTCGGGAGGTCGCGGTAAATTTTTAGAGAGATTTTCACGCAACGCGAGTGATCTTGATCTTGACACTTGTTTTGGAGGGTTCATTAATCGAGTAACTTGCGTCTTACATTGGATTTTGAAGCGTCCTCTTTTCAGTGCGAATTTGCTTCCAATGGTTGATTCAGTCTGAGAGAGTTAAAGCGCAAACTGCTTAGGAATGAGCCTCTGGAACTATCAATATTAACCTGATCTGCGCTGCGATAATTTTTCCAAAGAGTTTTTGGCGGGTGTAGTTAGGTAGAATTCCGCCTTGTAAAATCATGCGGGCGCAGCACGCAGAAATAGAAGAGACGGCTCTCTCCTTTCGGAGTCCAAATGGCTGCGCTGTCCCTTGTCTGAGGGTTAATGGATTTGCATAGGCGCGTTTTTCAGGCGAAGTAAACGGAGATGACCGCGACGGTAAAAGGGATCGTCTCGCGGCGGTAAACGCGACTTATGATGAAAAAGCTGCTGCGCGATCATTGGAGGTAAGTCGGGCTTCCGCGTTGTTTGCGAACGCGGTGTTATTGCTGCGACTGGACCGTCGAAAATTCGGTGTTTACGTAAGGTGGCTTAAATGCTGACTAACGCGCGCGACCCACGCATCCTCAAAATATTATCTCTACGTGGAGTGGTAGCGCCTAGGAAAACACGTCTAATGGCTCGTCGTCGTCGTCGCGACGACTCGTCGCAAGCCAATTAAACGTTTTAACGTGCGCGCCGTTCGTCCATCCGCCCGTCGGCGTTCCTCTCCGTTCCTCTCGTTTCCTCTCCGTTCGTAGGGGGGGGAGGGACATTTTTTTACGATTTATCTATGCGCCTCGTTGAAAACTCTTCCTCCTCTTAGCTGCGAGAAAAATCCGGTAATGCCCGATGTGACGCGCAAGCTCTCTCTCCTCGTCGCCGTGTCTTTTTCTCTCGCGTCGAAAAAACACCCCGTCGAAGGTCGAACGGTAGTTGATTTTGCCGTAATTGTCCGCGTCTCGAAGTTTTTTCATATTATCGCGTGATAATACAGAAAATTCAAATGCACAGAAGACATTTCTCTCTCTCTTGAATAAGAGCGCTATATCTTTCTCTTTTATAAAGTTATAAAAGTTTCTCTTTTATAAAGTTATAAAAGTTTCTCTTTTATAAAGTTATAAAAGTTTCTCTTTTATAAAGTTATTAATGAATTTCTTTGGAGAATTTAGTCTCGATAAGTTGCTCGACACGCTCGAAACAACAAGTCGCAGTAATCGAGAGAAATAATGTTTACAAAAATGGCTCTGTTTTATGAGAATAATTGTTTTCGTTTCCTTCGGTTTCAACTTCTTCTGTGTGAATCTGTGCTTAGTCGCAACGTAATTTTAATTTTCTCTAGGTTCAGCTATATAAATTTGCTCGATCATAATTAATCTGTATTTTTTTGCATGCCTTACCGCGTTACTTGTATGCAATTACCGCTAACTACCAATTACGTTGCGACATGTCACTACGACAATTTGTTACGATAGTCGCTGTCTTGAGACTTGTGGGCCACGTAGAGGAAATGTTCATCTTTGATCTCGCTTTGCGTCTCATTTTCATACATTGTCGTACGCTTCCGCTGGTTTACTTCCAACCGCTCGCCCAAACAGGCGCTCTAAGTGTGTTGACGACAGATTGTTATGGGAAATTCACCTACAGAATTCCCGACGGGCTGAATGTTTTGTACATCGCGACAGGTTGTTTAATTATCTAGCGTTTAAATATATCAGTCTCTGTCAGCGCGACTGCTCGCGCGTCGCTTTTCTCCCTCACGATGTTTCGGAAAATATACCTTGAAATTCGCTCGTCCGTCTGTGGCCACGTTTGTGCGTTCCCTTTGACGCATCTTCCATCTCTTGGAAGGAAGTTTCCCGCAAGTTTCATCTCGTTCTCGATTGTTTAAGCGATGTCCCGCATGTAGCACCTTACCGCCGCGGCCGAGCTTACACGTCGCACCGAAAACCATAGGATACGGATGTGTTTCCCTTTTTTTTCTTTCTTTTCCGAAACAATTAATATCGCAGGTCTTTTTCGAACGACCGAACGTCCGAACACGTGCTCTTCGTGGTATTCTTGGTCCTTTCCGCAAAGGTTTGCAGCGGTCGGGCGTCCTTTTGTGTTCTTTCAAAAAGTCTACAATACGCCACGATTCTGCGGTACGAGGCGCGATGAGGTAGGGCCAAGACTCTCGAGAGCTGGAGAGAGAGAGAAAGAGAGAGAGAGAGAGAGAGAGAGAGAGAGAGAGAGAGAGAGAGAGAGAGAATGAAGAGGGACGGTAGGAGAGAGGGTGAGCTGTCTCTCGTCCTCATGTCGTGAGGTTGAGACAGGGGAAGAGATTAAAGGCGGAGGGAAGTGGTACCAGCTGGCCAGGAGGAGACGATTCAATCTCCTTCTCTACCTTCTTCTTACCAGCCGATGCCTTTCGAGAGGGCATCGAGAGGACGACAGGAGATAGCCGGGGAAAGAGAAAAAGTGTCTCGGATGTCACATGCGGGCCTGCTGCGCTTCTTATTGCTCTCCCCGCGTCTCTCTAACTACCTTCCTCCGCTTCTACGGAACCTCATCCTCCTTGTTCTTCTCCTGTGGTCTAGGGTTCGCTCTTCTCTCAATTTTGCATACGCCGCAAGAGCGACCAGCAGGAGCTATCCGATAATCGCGAACGCTCCGCGGGGGTGAGAGATCGCGATGAGAGAGGAAATTAGAGGAAGAACGTCGTGAAAATGTCGT